ACCAAGTTTTAGGAGTGCCCTATATACAGCAGCCTTTAAAAACAAGGTCATACATTTCTGATGCATATGAAAATTTTATTAAGAAAATACACACATCTCGAAGTTTTGGATGAGCAGATACACACTACTATATTTAAAAGAGATAACCAACAAGGACCTACTGTATAGCACAGGGAACTATATTCAATACCTTGTAATATCCTATAAGGGCAAAGAATCTGAAAAAGAATATGTGTATATATAAAAACTGAATCATTGTGCTGTACACCTAACACAACATTGTAAATCAACTATACTTCAATTTAAAAAAAGAAAATACACACATTTCAGTAGAATTTATGAGAAGAAATTTATAACAAGTGAGAAGAAAACAGTTCACGCCATTAGGAAGTTTTTAGACTGACTCCTGGAACCATCTGGAGTAAGTCAATCTGGTAAAATACACTCTACACAAGGCGTTCCCCTTAAACCGGTATTCCCATAAGCTATTACCAGAAGACGGCTTATTCCATCTCTTTATCTTAAATACAAAGGTGAGAAAGGGTAAGCAATGACTTTTGCTACGTGTGGCTTCTTTCAAGTCAACAATGAATGCTTGGGATGTTACCAAAGGAAACACAATATCAATTGCAAAATATGGTTTTAATTTCAGCTAAAGGTCATTAGGCAAAGTATAATAGAACATTAGGCAGAAATTTTACTTTGTCAAATATTCAGCTAAAATAGATCTCAGAAATTCCTTATTCCACACATACATTTTTATATTACTACTTTCTGTTATGACCTTTTAGTGGAAGAAGTTATAGACATGGATGTAATACAATAGACGTAATTAAAAATATATCTTACAATTCCAATTCATGTCGACATCGGCAGATGTCAAGATACAAAGTGTATAAGCACTATTGAAACTGATTTGCACAAAGTGATAGCAGTTGGTGGTTTTGTGAAGATCAGCAAATCAAAAGATGTTAGTGAGCTGGAATTTTTGGTGTAATTTATCAAATTCAAAACCAAATCTTTTGTTTACATCTAGTACTTAAAATGCTTAAGACTAACAAATTAAATAGGTTTATGTTGTATTTAAATTATAAATGGGAAAAAGTAAAAATCAAACGAACTGGTAAAACACGTTAAAAAGGACCTAAGACTAATATCATAATAGGTGAACAATTTTCATCTGAAATAACAATTCCTGAAGATAAGGTATTAAGATCCAGATAAAATCGCCGGTCACAGAGGCCCTTCTTCCCTGAGAAGGGCTGAGGTGACACACAGCTCTGCCTCTCACCAGCAGAGAACTTGGGCAAATCTTTTAAACCTGTCTGAGCATCTGTATCCTTCTCTGTAAAAGAGGCACAGTGACAGAAGGTGGTTGTGAGGATTAAATACGCTGATGCAGGTAAGCTGCTTAGACAATGCCCGGCGGAGTAGGTGCTATCCATAAAATTTAGTTTATCATCATTTGCTAACTGAACATACCTAACGTGTTGGTGATAATTCAGTGACTATGTAGGAATCAATGATTTGCTAGAACGTACACTTAAAATTAGGAAAATAGAGGGGAACAGTTTTCCTAGAACATAAAAGGACATACTGAAAATTGGGGAGCATATATCCATAAATTTCCCCTTCGTCTTAAAACTTTTAAAAGTATGCTGAATGTAGGGGTAATTTCCCAAAGAGCAAAGTGGAAAATAAGTTTTTATTTGGGAAAAACAGGATTGATTAAATAGCCATATCAAAGAGTCAGTTTACTGGCAAAAAGCTGTTACAGAAATATACAAAGCATCCCAGTCATTTGACTTAATTTGTGTTTTACGTCACTGAACTCTGTACACATTTCCAGACCCTGACTTTTTCTCTTTGAGAGGCACTATTTTCCATACCCAAGTAACGAAAGTAATTATTGTTTTAAAATCTAATCACTGGTTTATTTGAGAAACTGCTGGCAAGGATTAAGGGAATTATGCAATAAGAGTCCTGTCCTAATTAGGCCCAGATTAATTTATAAAATTTGGAACAAAGCATTGAGCTTTTTGTCCACTTATATTAAAACATCTTGACTTCAGATGAGAGGTAAGTTTTCTGTAGTAAAATTGTCTTGAATATTTTAAATATTAAGTATGTTACTTTATTTAGCTTGTCTGTGGAGGATTTATTTCATTTTAACATCTAGATGTACATGAAAGTACAAATGATAAATCAGTTGAGAGCCAAAGTAGATAATGAATCTCTCTGCCATTTTCTATAAAGTCAGCAATGTACCTGCACCTGTGGAGAGGAATTACGATATTGGTGTTGCTTCATTCTTTAGGACAGTCCCTTTAAATGGAATCCCAGTAGAGAGCTTTGAGCTTTATATTAATGTTCTCAAGTATGTATGCGCAACACAGCTGATTCCGTTTTGGTGAATTCAACCTAGGAGCTGTTCGAAGTTTGAAGAGGTTATTTTTGAGGGGTACTGAATGGGCTTGGGAAAAGCAACAGGAGCATTTGGATGAAGTATTTTTTCTAAGGCAAGACTTCTCCCACTCCTCTACTCTCCCCTTTGGGCTTTCTCAGTTATCTGAGAGTAAATAATGCTCCATACCCCTTGATAATTGCTATGCTTTGGTCTCAATTCATTAGCAACTCCTTATCAAAGGAGAATGTAGAATCTCGTTTCTCCAGAGGCTGATAATTTAGAGAAAGAAAAGACCAAGGACAGGGTAAGTCATATCATAAGACAAATAATAACAGAGAACAAATGCCCACTTGATAATCTTTTATAAATGAAAACTAGTTGCTAGGTTTTCCTTAACAAGCATATTTAAAATCTAATTTAGAATTGAACAATGTTCTATTTACATATTTTCAGAATAAGCTGTTTAAAAGTTCTGTATTTTTGTTCTTATGAACATCCTCGGTAAGTTATACATAACAAAAAATAGATGAAAGAACAGAATTTCAGTTTTCTTTTTCAGAGAAAGTATATACTATCTGAGCACTAAACTTAAACGCACACCACACTCAGTACTCTGGAGCAGTGCCACTCAGTGTGTTCTCTATACCAGCAGCACGGGCATCACCTGGGAGCTTGTCAGAAATGCAGGATCTCAGGCCCCACCCCAGACCCACCGCATCAGCAGGAGGAATTAGTTAGCTCTCCACATGATCTGGACATCCACTTTAAGACAGTGATTGGGAGGGGAGGGGAAGTGTGTGCATCAGAATCACCTGGGGACCTACTGAAAGTACACCTGCCACAGCCCTGCTCCAGGTGGTCCAGGGGGCCTTAAAGGAGGGGGCAGAGGTATCTGCATTTTAAAGCTTCACAGTGACTTGGTGGCAACTTCCTGGTTAAGAATCCATCCCTTAAGAAGGTTTTAACCAAAATCTTTAACACTTTTCCCATTATAGTCAATAAACCTTACCCTCATTAGTTATCCAATTTATTTCACAGTACAGGTGGGTGGTCTCAGATTAGAAAAATATGTATTCTCACTTTTCCCACTAAATAATATGACAGACTAATCTACAGAATTTCTTCTTTTTTCAAAAGAATAAAAATGACTGTCCATTGCTATTTTTCAAATTAATTACCTTTTCGCTGGGTAAAAGTTTCCATAGAGGGTCCATTTCTTTTCCAATTTGCTGCCATTATGCCACCTCCCTTCCCACCATGCTGTTAGCTCCTGCCTGTGTTCTTAGCTTATATACTAAAACATTTTAATTTGTATCCAAAAAACTGTTACTTCTTAAAATACTGGTTGGTAAATAACATATAATAAGTAGCTTCTAAATAAATATGATTTCTGTCTTATTTAAGCAAGCAGGCTATATGCCATTTGGCCTTGTTTTTTCCTTAAAATATTTTTAATTTCCATGTATACTGTATTAGGCATATTTAATAAGCAAACATCTTAGTAAAATTATTTAATTCTACATTTTCCCGTCTTCAATAAGCATTAGGTGAAAAACAGGTCTGTAAATTATTTTACTTGTAATGTTAAACTAAAATCAAGATTTCACAGAAAATATTTTTGTGGATGACTTTGTTTTGACAAAGGTAATATGAAAAACATAAACCTTTCATCCTTAATTGAAAAAAACAAATTGTGAGCTGATTGCTTTTTTTACAAAACAGATTGATGATATAACATACCTCTGACTTTATTCATCTGTTAAGTGGATTTAACCAACTGCATTTTCCCATACTCCAAATGGCAATGCTATTTTGAGCATTCTTAAAAACACTGAATTATATTCAAAATTATTGTGAATCAACCTCTACCTATAGGTAAAAGGAGGCAGGAACATAAAAATGAAGCCTTTTTATCTCCCTGCAGAATATCACATCTAACATATCAAGGACTGTGGAGGGAAATATCAAATAATGTGCACACCGATATGTAGCTATGAATAACTTTTCGTAGTTAATATTCTAGAATGGGCATTTAAGCTTTGTTTGTTCCCCCAAAGCAAACTATGTTAGGCTCATATATAGCAATACTACTTCTCAAAATGTTTGGGATTGTTCTGTAGGAACTCTCCAATGTGTAAGCCACATAAGAAAACTGGTCTCACTAGCCAGTTATTCCCCGTTTTACTGGGATTAAAAATGACATTTACTGGTCTGAACACCTACTTTATTCATTCCCACTTAGCTCTAAATTAATGTTGGTGGTTTCAAACAATTAAATCCACCTTCAATGGAGAAAGAGTTGTCACTACTAATGATAGTTAAAGGAATGTATCATATGAACATTCCAAAATTATATCAAGTAATAAAGAGCATCACTACTGGAATAAGGGTATAGACTCATAGATGAGTCTAAATATGACTCATTTAGATGTGAAACATGGCTAATCTGTTAGGTCACACGCTGTCAAAAATCATAATTTATGCATCAGGTATCCTATACCCCCTTCTTTAGAATCATCTAGAAGAAAATGAAAATATGTGTTTTTCATAATAAGCAAACCTGAATTTCTCGTTGGGCAATAAAATAGCAAAATTGAAGCAATTTAAGATATTTATTTTAAAAAGTTACACTGAGATTTTTATACACTGTTGAAAACAATGACTAGTTTATTTGTATAAAGGCGGCAGTACTTCACATTTCTCCCACGTTATAGTTAAGCCTCAGTTTAGTCCCAGAAAATACATAATAGAGTACATTTTTCCTGATCTATCTACTGAAAAGGAATTTCAGAGCATGAAGGTAAAATGAAGCGGAAATAAAAGGACATTTTTAGATACTGACAATTTGTCCTTAGAATTTGGTTAAATTTGGCTTCTTCCCAAAATTCTGTACTCACATCCACAGAAGTAAATTTCTATTTTAGTAGCCCTAAAAGAACTGGGTGAGAGAAGATGATTAGCTATAACAGTAAATAGCAAATACTTCGGCAAGAGTGAACAGGAGCACAAGTGAAGACATTCGCAAGTACCTTTTTAATATCTCTGATGTGGTATGAGCTACAAATCAGAATGAAAGCGTTATGGTCATCTGATTTCAGGGAGCAGGTGGGCATTAACAATGTAGTCAACAGGTCCATCCTGTACAGAAAGAAGTGGAGATTCATGGGAAAAAATAAGCAAAGTGGTAGGGGAGAATAAAACACAGAAAACCCCATAAATTTGAGAACGCCCTCTCTTTTTGTCTGAAGAAAGGAGTCCCTGAAGCCTGGAAAGTGTTTATCAGTGGTGTGCTTCTATTCCGTTGTTGGTGGAGGGCGTGACGCAGGCTCTGGCCAATCGTACACATCCGGCAGCAGGGAATCGTATTCACTTCGCCATATTCTTTCTCGAATGTATCTGGTCTTGTCCTCAGGTTCCGGGTATCGGAAAGCCATTTTATTAGCATATAGATATTCTGTAACCTGAAAAATAAAAAAGATTACTGTGTAGACTCTGAGTATTAACCCATTTAAGAGAAAAAGTATTATTAAAACACAAAGTAATGAATTTGGAAGAATGGCGTTTTTTTATAATAAAAAATAACATTACTTTGACTCACTTCAAGACATTCACATACTATTAAAAGGTAAAAAACATCTGCAGTCTCACCATAAGTTCAATGTGTTTTAAAGTGACTTTAAAGATCCCCCCCCCGAATTATTTTCAGCATTTCCTTAATACTTCAATAATTTTAAGCTCTACCGTGTGTTGGTCCAGCAGACCTACTTGGTAGCCTGCCCCACCTGTGTCCCTCCCCACCGCTCTGCTGAGACTGTGTGTAGGAGACTCTACTTCCTAGTCATAGGTGACTGGACTAGGGTGAAAATCTAACCCAAAGTGAGCCAGATGTTTTTCCTCTAGAATTTGAATTAAAAGACATAGAAATTATTATAAATCAGGTGTTGGACACTAGAACTATAAGGTCAAGTAAAGTCAGGGCTAGAACCTATACATGGCAACTCACCACCACCATCACTGAGTGCCAGGCATGTTCTATGTGCTTTACGTGGGTATCTCATTTAATCCCCCCAAGAACCCTAGGACACAAGTACTATTATTATTCTCATTTTATACATGAGAACACCAAAGTTTGAGGAGTTTAAGTAACTTGCCCAAGCTATTTAAAGTGAGAACTGTTGTTTCAAACCCAAAGCATTCTGATTCTAGGTCCCAGATCCTAAACAGTTAAGCTAGGTTACTTCCCACCTAAACTGGCTTGAATGAATTTCTGATCTTTGTGGCAAGCCACACACAATGACTGGTGGTGAAGATAAAGCCTGTGACTCTCTGTTTTGATGTAAGATGGGGTAGTATGAAGAGCTTCCTCACAGGGTAGCATGGTACCTGTCATCTAGTTAAGTTCTCAAGTTATGGTTTAATTTTAACTTTAAAACAATGCAGTGATACGTGGTAAAAAAAAAAAAATCAAACAATTATGTCTTTCTCCTCCTCTAATTCCCATTCCAAGGGAATTAGATAGTTCCCTTGGAACTAATTCCAAGGGAATTAGATAGACCAAGATAGTCCTTGGTCTTAGGAGTTCAACCTCACTCTATTTTGAGACAGAATTCCCTTGAACAACACGGGTTTGAACTGTGCAGGTCCACTTATATGTGAATTTCTTTCACTAAGTATGTACTACGTGATCCCCAGTTGGTTGAATCTGTGGATGCAGAACCTTGGAAAACTGAGGGCCAACAGTAAAGCTATATGTAGATTTTCGACTGCGCAGAGGGTTGGCCATTAACTTCTGCATTGTTCAAGGGTCAACTGTATTGCCCAGTCTGTTGTAGGAAACATATCTGTACCCACAGAGAAGGCTGGGGGCAAGGCCTGAGATGGGAGGGAGTCCTCCTTGATCAAGCAGGCATGTGGCAGGTGACCGGTGACTATATGGGGCTGCCCAGTGGCTGTGGGTGGTGCTGGGCGACAGATACACAGCACTGTCTGCTCACCTGATCCCGTGGCTCCTAAAAAGGAAAGCCTCAGGACACCGGAGAAGGAGGGGGAAGAGAGACGATCCTGGGGGCTCTGCTCCTATACCAACCCCAGCACAGATCTCCGTCTATTTCCCCATGTACTACCTTTCATGTGGACACACCAGTAATCTAACCAACTGATACATCCCAAAATCTGTCCCACCTGTAATATCCTGTAATTCTCAAGTTGAACTCTATTCATCCTAATTCTGGGCTCTAAATTCTTCAGCTGTTTTACAATAGTAAGGTATTCTGGGGCTTCCCCGGTGGCGCAGTGGTTGAGAGTCCGCCTGCTGATGCAGGGGACGCAGGTTTGTGCCCCGGTCTGGGAAGATCCCACATGCCGCGGAGCGGCTAGGCCTGTGAGCCAAGGCTGCTGAGCCTGTGCGTCCGGAGCCTGTGCTCCGCAACGGGAGAGGCCACAACGGTGAAAGGCCCGCGTACCGCAAAAAAAAAATCATTTGGCAATGTATATCAGAGGCCTTAGCATGTTAATCCTTTTGTTCTTAGGATTAGAAATTATTTTAAGAAAAAACGATCACAAATGCACATAAAGACTTATCTAAGGATGTTCACTACAATGTTATTTCTAACAAAACGAAAGATGCTTAAATGTCCCCCAAAATAGAGAAATGGTTAAGCAAACTATGATATAACAAAGAGAATTCCATGAAGCATTAGTGATCATGAGAATTATTATTGATTTACCTGGGGGAAGGCTTACAATATATTAAGTGGAAAAAACCGCAGTGAGAAACCAATTTTAAAAACAGGCACAGGTGACTGCATGTGTGTGCGTTTTTATTATGTGTTTGGGAAGAAAAAACAATAGAAGGCAACAAATGTGAGTTATATTCTGTAGTAAGAATATGAGCAACCTAAAATTTCTTTGCACCCTCTAAATGTTTCTGATTTTTCTCTAATGAACTTGTGTTACTTGCATGAAGAAAACACCATTAAAATTTATGTGAAGAGGTATAAATTATTACTTACTTTAATAGCAATGTTAATAGAAACTTCCTGAATATTAGCAAGTGGCGGGTAAAGTCTCCCCTGAGCTAGCTCTTTATCCATCAATTGATTTGTCAGAGCCTGAAGAGAAAAAAAGAGAACTTTACTTTTGTTTGCTTAAATAACAGAATAATAAGGACTAATAAAATGGGGAAAGGGTTGGGGGAGCAGAGAATAATACAGGTAACATGTTTTCCTTATTTCTAGCAGGAATACACTTAAACCACTGCAGAAGTTAAAACCGTTTACCACTAAACAGTAAAGAAATAACCGGATTTAAAGACTTTAAAAAAAATCAGATTTAAAGACATTTTATCTATGCTGTCACAATTATTTTACTTTCAGATATGTGTAATACTGGTACAGTATTTATGAAAGGATTCATAGCTTACAATCCAACACTGGAAAAATGATAAATTAATTTTATGCAAAAGTAGAAGGTAAATCAAAAAAGCAACGGATGAGTAACTTCCTTTCCACTCATAAGGCAGATTTAACCCATTCTCTCTCTGTTTTTAAGATCCATTCAGCTTTATAATTCATCCTTTATAAAATAACCAAACAATATTTAAAACATTTACCTTTGCAGCCTCTAGGAAAACATGGTCACTAATATGCCGGGTGTTACAGAGAATAACAGCTAAAGCCACACCTGGAATACATTTTAAATAGTTTACTTAGTCAGGTCACTTCCAATTATGAAAGTAGCCAAATAAATTCTTAGATTTAAAGCAAATTAATGGTAACCCACCCCTACCCCAAACAGCCCCTTCAAACAATGAAGCAGGCAAGATAAAAGAGAAATCTGAGCACTAAAATTAAGTGATCTTTAACTGTTATAATTCTTACTTATTAGAAGAAACAATTTTAGAAATATCAAATGGCTTTTCTCAATTTAGTTTTCACATTTATCAAAATTACAAATGCATACAATTCATCAACAGTTGTTACAAAAACATAAACTCCCGGGACTTCACTGGTGGTCCAGTGGTTAAGAATCCGCCTTCCAATGCAGGGGATGGGGGTTTGATCCCTGGTTGGGGAACTAAGATCCCACAATCTGCGGGGCAACTAGGCCCATGCACCGCAACTACTAAGCCCACGCGCCACAACTAGAGAAAGCCATGCGCCACAAGGAAGAGCCCGTGCGCTGCAACTAAGACCCAACGCAGCCCAAAATACATAAATATTAAAAAAAAAATGTTGATACTGACTTAAAAAAAATCAATTCCCAGTCCATCTCTAATCCTCCACTTCTTGCTCTACAGAAGTAACTACTTTTAATTCTTTTAGCTGATTATTTTAGTAATTCTCTCTCTCACAGCTTGCTTCTATTTCTTCTGATTGACTTTGAGTTTTGGAGATCACCGACTCCTTCCTGTTGGAAATAAGTATTTAGCTTTCTTGCACATTTCCAGCCCTCTTACCAATATAGTTAGAGCATAATTTTGGTTGAATCAGTGTTTATATTATTATGACTTCATAAGTGCTCTTCACAGCTGAGCCATATATTAACATTATATCCTAACTTTTCCTCTTCTGCCTTTTTGTTTTCCCTAAGGTTATTGTCCTGCTTTTTCCTTTGATTTTTCGGTACTCAAAATTATTTCATGCTGAGACACTTATTCATTTAGTTGTCTAAATCATCTAGTAATTTCAGCTATTTCACATTTCTCTAATTTCATCCTCGAGAATAAATCTCTGCTGAAACTCCAATCTGGCTTGGTTGCTCTCCATTCCAGATATGGAGCTATCATCCTAGAAACTCTCTTCATCTTCATGGGGATTCCCTTTGCTTCTAAGTTGAGTCCATTTCCTAAAGCTCACTTCTTCCTAGTATTTTTGTTACTCCCTTTTTTGGGTAGGATATATTCTCCAGTAGTTTTCTGAAAAACAGTGCATAGGAGATACATTTCTGGAAATCTTGCATTTTTGAAGAGCCCCCGCCAGCACCCCAACACACACACACACACTCACGTTTTTACTACCTTCCACTTTATTTGATAGTTTGTCTGGGTTTAAAATTCTAATTTGGAAATAATTTTCCTTCAGAATTGTAAGGCATTATTTCAATACCTCACAGCTTCCAGCATTGTTGGTGAGAAGTCTGGTGCCAATTTGACTCCAGATCCTTTTTCAACGATTATCTTTTTGTTGCATCTCTGGAAGTATGTAGGATCTTTTTTTGTACCTAATGTTCTGTAATTTCACAATGTGTGCCTTGAGGTGCATTACTTTCGCCCACCATATTTGGCACTTGGTAGGTGGGCCCTTCCTATCTGGAAACTGGGTCTTGCAATTTGGGGAAATGTTCATGAAGTCGTCGATAATTTCCTTCCCTCCACTTTTCTGTTCTCTCTCCCTGAAATTTCTACTTTCTGATATTGCACCTCCTGGACTAGTCCTCTAATTTTCTTTTCTTTATTTTCCATCCTCTGATCTTTGCTCTATTTCCAGATGACTTCTTCAACTTTTTCTTATAATCCTCCTACCAAACTTTTCATTTTCCAGAGCTCATTTTTGTTTTCGAATTTTTTTTAAAATAAAATTCTGTCTTGTGTCTGGAATATTTGTCTCCATGAGGATACTGATAGTTTGTTTTTTTTTTTAACATTCCATTTCCCCACATAATCTGTTTTTTCCTAAACTGCTTTTTTCTGTTTGTCTATTTAGTTTTTTTTATGAAATAAACTGTTCATATAAGGGATTTTCCTTAAAATCCCTTCCTTTGAGTGTTTCTCATATGTAAGAGTTAGGAACTTAAAAAATTGATTGCTATGAGCACGAATACGGCAAACCCTATTCGGGGTTTCACACTATTCAAAGAGTATCCCAGCAGTCTTTGGCCAGAGTGGGGAAGTATGGTAACTCAGTTACTCAGGGATGGGAAGAGGATCACGGTGGTTAATAGCTTCATTATTTTAACCTAGCCTCTAGATAATTTTTTTTTAAGTTGAATATTCGTCCCATCTACGTTTAATGTAGTTAATTAAATGTTTGGGGCAAAATCTATTGTCTTCTTACGTTTGTCTATTCCATATTCCCTTTCCTATTCTTTCTTGCCTTTTGGATTAAAAAAAAAAATCATTTCATTTCCTCCCCTAATATTCTCTTATCATAGTTTGGAAGTTCTTCTAGTCTTCTAGTGGTTATCTTAAAATTTATAACATGCATTCTGATCAAAGTTTCATGTTAATTTTTAGTTTGCCCTCCTGCCAGACAATGGATCTCCTAACAGTTTAACTCTATGTAACCGATAAGCTATTATTATTGCGCCTTTTAATTTTGTCTCTATATCTTTCAAAATCCCACGTCATTATTGTTTTGCCCTACACATAAAACGTTCCTTTTGTTTAACTCAAATATTCACAACTTCCTTTGCTCTTCATTCTTTCCTACATCTCTGAGCTTCTAGCTGGGATTACTTGTCTTTTGCCTAAGGAATACTCTTTAGAATTTACTTTCCTTTCTTACATGTCCGCAGATGGTGAATCCTCTTTTTTTCCTCTTCTGAAAATATCTTCATTTTGTTTTAATCCTTGAAGGGGCTTTTCACTGTGTAATGAGCTCTAGCTTCACAAGTATTTTGTAGAAGCCACTCACACAGGTCACTCCATTGTCTTTTGGCCTCTTGTTGCTGTTGAGAAGTCAGTTGGCCTGACAATTATTCCTTTGAAGGAAATCTGTTTGCTCTGGCTGAATTCGCAGTCTTTGTTGTTGTTTTCTGAAGCCTCACAAGGATGTTACTGGATGTAGATTTCTTTTTACTTATCCCGTGTGGATTTCACTGAGCTTCCTGAATATTGTGTAGTGATGTCATCTGTCAGTTCTCAGCCATGAGGCCTGTAAATATTGCCTCTGCTTTACTTACTCTCATCTTTCTCTGGGACCTCAATTAAATGTATATCAATTAACGGTATATATCTGTTTTTCTATATATATTTCCCCCCTTTTTTGGTCTCTGGATCGTTTCTTCTGGCCTATCTTCCAGTTTATTAATCTCCTTTGGTCTAATCTGTTGTAAGCCTCATTCACTGAGTTCTTAGTTTATTGTATTTTTCAATTGTAGAATTTAGTGTTACTTGGCTGAATTTTTCAAGCTTGGCTTTTATCCCATACACATAATAAGCGTATTTGTTTCACAGCACTTGTCTGATACTTAGAGTTCCAGAGTTTTCTTTTTGTTGTATCTGCTACTTTTGGCTTGTGTTGGCTTGTCTCTTTATGTGCTTCATTATCTTATTTCTTAACTAGGGTTGTATTTGAAAATTTATTTGTAAAAGTAACTTGAGGAATAGGATAGTGTTATCTTGGACCAGAGAAGACTTCTGCTTGCTTCTGCCAGGCACTTGTGGGCACTGGTAGGCCAAAACAAAGGCTTGAGGTTTTCCAGATCACCTCAAGTGCAAACTATACCCACACTCCAAGGTACAGTCCTTTAAGGTTTCAGCCCAAAGTGGGAGGTGGCTCACTAGCATCCCATCCTTTACAGGCACCAGACTCCCAACTCTTGACCTCTCTCCATGAAAAGCACAGCTTTACCTCTAAGTCACTTCTTCCTGATTAGGAAGGCTCTGGCCCTTTTAGGTTTTAATTGTGTTGTTCATCCAGGTATAATTGCTGGAGTAGGTAATTCAAACATTTCCAAAGCCTTGAGTTTTTAACTGCTTTTTGATCGTTCTTTTGGCCAATCCTGTTTTTAAGCCCATTTTGACCTCTGCTACCAAGTCATTCTTTTGTCTATATTTATAGTCCTAATAACTGTTATTAATAAAGTTAGAACATTGAAACGTTATATAAAAGTAATCAACTGCCAAATTCTCCGTTAGTCAAATACGATATTAAAAGTGGCTTTGTTAAAATCAGCAGAGAAGTATTATTTTCACGGTCTTTATGCCAGAGAAATACTGTCGGATGGAACAGACTGATTTTGAACATTATCAAGTTCTACAAGGGGATCATCAGTGATGGCAGAGTTTCTGTTACAGATGCTAGATTTCAAGAGACAAGCAGAGCAGAACTCTACACAACCACTCTGCTGGGGGGAAAAGGAGGAAAGTGCACTAGAAAAAGGACGAAAGTGCACTAGGATATTCACAGGCCCCAAATCTTTATTTTAACAACAGTTATAATAACGTGCTTCCTTGATGCCAGCCTATGTGTGCTATAAATATGTCCTAAAATCTTAGAGCCTGTGGTCAGTTATTCAGGGAGAGGCCCACAAGGAGAAAGACACAAGTACAAAGGAAATTCATGCCAAATCACTATTTTACTCAACATAATTCTTTCATTAAAATGAATAAACTAAGGATTACCAGAAACTTCTGGAAAATAAACAGCACAAAGGAAAAAATATTTAAAAGAATCTTAATAACTCTCAGGAGAGATCCGAAAGGATGCTGCAAGCTTAAAAAAAGTGGCTATTAAAAAGTTATTCTATGACAAGAAAAGGTATTGACAGTAAAAAATAATATTTGAACCTACTGAGTTGATGATATGATATTAAGCAATTATTATTTATTTCCTTTGGTGTGATACCACTATTATGGTTATGTGTAATTTTTTAAAAATTATTTTTTTTAGTGACACATACTGAAGCACTTATTAATGAAATTATATGATGTCTCTGATTTGCTTTAAAATAACCCAGTGAAGGTGGAGTGGGTGGGAGTATAGATTAAATAACACTGGTTACAAATTGATAACTGCCAAAAAGTGGGAGAATGGAACGTGGGATTTCATTCTTCCCTCTACTTTTGTATATGTTTGAAATTTTCAATAAAAAAAGACTGTTGAAACAAAACATACACTAGAAGTGCTAAAAAAAAAAAGGAAAAAGGAAACCAAAACAGATACAGATAAATTAACAAACACCACAGAAATCCCCCATATTAAAGAACAAAAAAGGTAAGAGGCGAAAATATGAATAAAAGTTACAAGTCAGGGCAACAGAGGGATTTGACCATGGTCTAACACAAGTTCCATAAGGGAAAAACAGAAATAATGAAAGGAAAGAAATAAGGGGGGGAAAAGACAGAACAAAAAATCCTTTGGAAAAGAAAATATAGTGAATTGGCCCACCTGCAGACATGCATGATGGAAATAAAGCCCAAACCTGGATGCATCCCACTAATATTTCAGAGATCTAAAGATAAAGAAAACACTGAAACATTTTTAGGGAGACAAAGCTAGTAGGTATAAAGGAATGAGAATCTCATTGACACCAGATTTCTCATCAGCAACCCTGGCCACTGAAAGTGATGGAGAAATGTTTCCAAAGGTCTGACAAAATGACTTTGAATCTACAAATCTCTACCCAACCAAACCATCAAGCGAGAGAACAAAATAAAGACATTTTCAGATACATAAAAACTCAGTTTTCATCCATGCTTCATAAAAAAACTTATTCAAAGATGTATTCCAGAAAAATGAGACCAACACAAAGAGGAAGAGTGTACATGGGCAAGAGAGAAGCACCACAGAAATGATTTGCTGTGGGGCAGGATCAGGATGAAATGAAGGAAGCTGGCAAGAAATTAGAGGAGGATTCATTATACTTGACACTTAAAAGACTTTGAGTGTCAAAAATTTTGTTGATCTAGAATTGCAGGTTCTACTGTATTTATCAAACCACACTCTTGTTTAGACATGAGTAACATATAATCATGAAATTTCAGAATCAATCCAGAGACAAAACATGGAAAACAACAGAACACAATGTAAGTTTCAAAAATTTCTCTGCAATGTAGAAATACCAACCATAGTTGAGAGATAAAATAAGAAGAGATAAGAAAGCTAAATACCAGATTTTTTTTTTCATTTTTACTGTGGCAAGCTAATAAAAACTGTCTTAAATTGCTTACAAAAGCTCTTTATTATATAGATAAAGGTAACGACCAGGAAAACTAAAAGTAGTAATAGAAATTGACAGGTAGAGAGAGAAAGCAAGGTATTAGGAGGTATCAGGTATTACGTGTGGACTATTACTTAGATTTCACAGTTGGAAGTTCACACATACAGTCTAGAGTTGGAAGAATGAAGATAAGGGAGAAGTGTGCCAGTCATGATGGTAACCATCAGAAAAACTCAAAGGAAGCCACAGTGATTATAGCTGATAAGTATGATAAGGAGGTACCAAGGGGAGATAGAGAGGTTAAATAATTTTTTAACATTCTGCTCCTTTTGCATTTTTATGAACCATGTACTACTTTATTTCTATAATAAAAACAAATTTAATGAACGGTATGAATAAATAAATTTTTAGGGGAAATAGAGCAAGTTGGATTTGCTGAATTCCTTGAGTTTTCCTGTACATTCATAGCAAAATCCTGTAAATACCATTGTTTTTTAAATCTTAAATTCTAAAGAATTTCATAAGGAATTTTAATGTAATTATTAATGATTACTCTATAACATAAATAATGGTGGCATTTACCTGGAAAAATATATACATTGTTTCCTTGACCTGGTATAAAGACTTGCCCATCACTGAGTTTCACTGGCTCAAATGGACTGCCACTGGCAAACAAACACCTTCCCTGTTGAGAAATGAAATAACCTCAATTTTGTTACTTTATGTGGACTAGAAAATTGAGGTGAATTAAAACAAAATTAAACCCTGTAGTAGACCAATATACTACTTGCAAAACAGGCATAATTTACTATAAAACATAATCCTCTCATTCAAATCCTTATTAGAATAAGGTTTCTTTTATGCATAGCAAGCATTCAAAGTTGAAAAAGTCCATTAATAAATTCTTTAAAACCTGACACTTCTATTTCCTTTAAAACTTAACAAATGTAGACGGCAAAAAAATATCATCCCTAATAATAAAGACTGCTATAAACATCTGTGAATGAGGGGAAAACATCAAAAATTAAACTGCTACCATTTACTGTGCATCTGCTGTTTTCTGGCTCTGTACCAGGTGCTTTATACGTGTTAACTCAGTTAATTTAGCCCACATAGAAGGCTTATGAGATTATCATCTCCATTTCACTAATATATATTTTTTAAAAATCTCAGAAAGCAAAGGCTTAACTATTTCCAAGTACTTTGTAAAAAGTCACACATCACAACTGTAGCAGTTAAACTTAAATCCAGATTTGTATAACTCTAAAACCCATGGTTTTCTATTATGCTACAATGTCCCCCAGATAGGCAGTTTATAGAACAGGCATATGGTATAACCACAGTCACTCCAGAAAAACATGGCATGTTGTCTTGTTAAAGAAAAGGAAGTCTCCAAATTTGTTGTATCCACCAATTTTAGTACTGTGCTCTATAATAGCATATAATACAATTTACTAGCACCTTCAGTATTTCTAAGAGAATTTGGTGCCCATGGAATTGAAAAGTACCTGAAGGTTAATTTATAAATCCTTTATATACAATTTTCCCCCACAAGTTCCATCTGTCGCACCCCTACCTGACCAAAAAAAGAAAGGCAAGAAAACAATAGTTTTCAAACAGGATAACTTATCTTGGAATACTTGAGGTATAACTAAAGGAAGTCATGTTTAAACAGCTACTTAGATGAAGTTAAAAGGTGATTCACAGAAAGCTGAACTATCTCCACACAGTAGGATGCACAAAATGACATGACACCTAAACATTTGACAGAGTTATTTTAAGTGTTTAGATAATGCTTTATCTTTTCCCTACATCTACAGATGTGTATTATAGCAAGAGTGATTATTCTTTGAAATATAGTAGACCCTTGGCATTAGTGGATTTAGCACTCAAGAATTTCACCCTTTGGACAACCTGAAGATCTACCATGTGTAGTAATTATTACTTTTACAAGACATACTTTCAATTTCAAAATGATCTCAGGTTTATGTGTAGAAGCAAGTCAACTGTGCCAGTGGTGGGCCCAGGTGAGTATCTTGGACCTACAACTCCAGAAAGCTATAGAATTTTCTACAGATAGCTATTACCATTCTCTACCTGTTCTCAGCCTAGCTTTATTTGTGACAAAAATTTTGTTTCTTTGAAGATCATGGTTAATGCCATACGAGTTACCACAATGTATATAATAATATAGATTATTTTTGTGCCACCATTAATTTTAATAGATTTATAAAGTGGATTATACAATATAGCTCTTTATGGGGAAAATGTTATATCCTCATGATATCAGTAAATTTGGAGATTTAGAAAGATCTTGGGCATCTTCTCTAGAATGGCAAGATTCAACAGCAGTTCATCTTCTCCAGCCCATTTTTTTTTTAACATCTTTATTGGAGTATAATTGCTTTACAATGTTGTATTAGTTTCTGCTGTATAACAAAGTGAATCATCTATATGTATGTATACATATATCCCCATATCCTCCCCCTCTTGTGTCCCCCTCCCTAATCCACCCCTCTAGGTGGTCACAACAGGCCATCTTTTTTTTTTTTTAATTCTTCCTCTTTCATAATCAACCTATAGCTTAAATGTGGCAAGACCTTAATGATAACAGTATTCTCATTCTGAAGTCCAGGTTAGCCTATTCTTTGTTCTGTGAGCAGCTGGCCATTAAAATATAAAAACACTTTTTTTTAAACGCATTTTTCTCCCTAAGCAGCAGAGGGTGTTAGACTAGCACTGAGACATCCCTCCACCAAAAACAACAAAAGGACACTTAAAATTTTAGCAGTAACTACAAATACATACATTTATGCTATTATTTTATGTAACACTAAGAAAAAAATTACGTAAAATTAAACTATGACAATGCTTTTTTACCATTTTTAAGAGATAACACAATTTCAAAGTTATAAAAATTGTGAGAAAATTTGCATCTCAGAACTGATACAGTGTGTCAAACTGGTTTCCTTGAGGAATTTTTATTCATTCAAACGGTGTACATCTATTACAATAACATTTATTCAAAAAATAAAATTCTTAAATGTTTGAAGTCTTCTACTGATATACTACTACTGCCCAAAACATTTCAATTTTTTATATTTTGGAAATGCCAAGACCCATAATACATGGAGTATATTTATCAACTAGTCTTTGTGTAAGACTAAAATTTAATTTGGGGGGCAATAACCATTAGTTTTAAGTAGTAAAGACAGGTGAAGAGGATGAGCAATCAAGCTAATAGTAATACAACTCTTTGGTAAAGAAGTAAGATAGTATACTAAAGAGACTGATTTTTTTTTTTTAATATATCTGTATGCTGACTTTGTGGATGAGTTCAAAAGAAAAGATTTCAATAATTATTAGAAGTTTCAGTAATTATTATAACTGTTGGAAGCCACTAGTCAAGCAAATTTATTTTGACTAACACAAAGTGGCAATATAGAAACAAAAGGAATTTTGAGAGAATATATGTGTCAAAATAAAATTTGTAACAATGAGAAAAAAACAATGCTAAATATATCAAGAGCGTGAATATTAAGTTCAGAAAGTTCTGAGAGTTCTACTTTGGCAATAGTCTTCTAGGTTGTTTCACACCAATTCTCCCTCTGGTAACAATGAGAAAAACTGGATAAAATATATTAAAAATATGTTTTAAGGAAGTGGGAGTGCTACCAAGATAGGGAGAGCATGGAGGTGGAGACAGTCAATATCCAAAAAAAGAGGAAAGCAAGGTATTTGGGCCCAGCATTTGAAGCTTTCCTCCTTCAGGTGAGTGATTTCAAAAGGGAAATCTGTGGCTGAGTGCCTGAGCACTGAAGTTATCAGGAGTCTCGTGATGACAGAGAGAGAAAAAGTATACTTCAGAGACCACTACGGGTGAGGGGTGCTGATAAATACCCCAGGGTTGGGCTTCCCTGATGGCGCAGTGGTTGAGAGTCCGCCTGCCAATGCAGGGGACACGGGTTCATGCCCCGGCCCGGGAAGATCCCACATGCCGCGGAGCGGCTGGCCCGTGAGCCACGGCCGCTGAGCCTGCGCGTCCAGAGCCTGTGCTCCGCAACGGGAGAGGCCACAACAGTGAGAGGCCCATGTACCGCAAAAAAAAAAAAAAAAAAAAAAATACCCCAAGGTTTTTGATTCATACCCAAGAGAAAACGTAAACTGTGGAAACAGATGAGGCCTCCCATGGACCACATCCTGCTGAATTACATGGAGCTGCCCCAGACTAACAGCCTCCAAAAGGAAAGGCAAAGCTTCTATGGAGGAAGGTAACTTCATTCCGAGCCTCAAATTATTGCTACTATCCTTCATCCACACTACCTAGCACTCAATAAGGAAGTGAAAGAAGTAAAACTAGGTTTACAAAAAGACAAGAACTGGATAACCAAGAAGAAAGACAGATAATAGAAGTGGACTCACAGAGAGTGAGATATTTGTTACTATCAGACATTAACCTTAATTATGATTCATATGTTCAAGAAATTAAATGACAAGACAAAATTTTAGCAGAGAACTGAAAGCTATACAAAAGAATCAAATAAGTAATTAAAAAATACTGTTAAAATTGTGAGGTGTGATAATACTGTGATTGTATTTTTAAAAGAATCCTTAACTTTTGAGAGATACACTGTAACATTTATAATAAAATGATATGTCTGAGACTGGCTTCAAAATCTAAGGTGAGTAGGATGTAGAAGAAACAAGATTGGCAATAAGTTGATCACTTTTGAAGCAGGGTATTGGTACATGGGAGTTAATTATACTGTTCTTTCTACTTTTGTATATGCTTGAAATTTTCCATAATAAAATATTTTTAATAGAGACAAAAACATTTATAAAATTTATTAATTTTTCTCAAGGGTATGACCTAACAATTACTACTCCTATATATCACTGTAAACAAGGCTTTAAAAATCACTTCCTAAACAGCAAAGATTTACTGTATAGCACAGGGAACTATATTCTACATCTTGTAATAACCTATAATGGAAACAAATACAAAAAAATGAAAAAGTATATAACCGAATCACTTTGCTATATACCTGAAACTTAACACAACATTGTAACCAACTTAAAAGAAAAAATCACTTCCTAGAGTCACTTAAAGATCACTTGCAAGAACAATACAGGAATTGATTACATTGTGGAGATTACAAATATATCTCTATAGAACAGTAAGGGAAAAAGAACTGTCCTAACGGTATACAAGCAGATACTTTTACCTGGGATATAACCCAGTGGCAGTGTCAAAGAATTCAAAAGAGCTAAATTTTAAACAATTTAGATGAAAGTAAAAATTTGTTCTGGAGAGCTGTCACATGACTCAAAAGAATGGCCCTATGATGGTGAAGATACATGTGAAGAGGGTAAAAACAATTATTTCATGACATGTGAGGGCAAGAAAGTAGTATTTATAAATTGATTATTTCTATAATACGTGATTTTAAGTCTGTGACGCTAAATTAATGAATTATGGAAAGAATGAAATAAAATTCCACAAGTGAAAAGTACAATAAAATTAAGAACCTAACAACAGATTTAGCACAGCTGAAAAGAGAATATGCAAACTGGAAGATAAGTCCAAAGAAAATCACAGGATTGAAACACAGAGAACAAACAGGATGGTATACATAGAAAATAGTGTAAGAGACATATTAGATATGGTGAAAAAGTCTTGACATTCACATAACTGGAGTCCTACAAGAGAAGAGACAGAATGTGTCCAAAAAGACATTAAGCCACAGATTCAGGAGCTCTACAGTCCTCAGGTGGAATAAATACAAAGAAAACCACACCTAAGTCCATAGTAGAAAAACTGCTTAAAACCGAAGACAAAATGGTCTATCAAAAAAAAAACAGAAGTCAGAAAACAAAAGAACGATACATTCAAAGTTCTGAAATAAAGTATCTACCAACTCTGACTTACATGCAGAGTGAAACAATATCCTTCAAAATGAAGGCAAAATAAAGAAATTATCAAGAGAATTCATCAGACCCACACTTAAAGTAAGTTCTTCTGGTAGAAGAAATAATCCTAGATAGAAGCACAGGTATGCATGAAGGACACAATGGCAATAGAAAATATTAAAATGTAGGTAAATCTAAATGAATAATTTTTGTTTAAAACAAAAAGAATGTCTTTGGGGATTTAAAATATGGAGAGAATTAAAATGCACAACAATAGCACAAAAGGCCTGAGGGTGTTAAAATGGATATATAAAGTAACTGCTTTCCAGAATTGATACAAGCAATAATTTACATCAGAATTTGATGATCCATGGATACATGCTGTAATCTCTAGAGCAACCATAAAAAGAATTATTCAGGAATGTATAACTAATAGGCTAATAGAGGGAAAATAATAGACATAACCAATTCATACTATTATTAATACCTCTGTAAGTGTATATGCTTCTTCAGCTGTGCACTCAGCTTGTGCTGTAGGATTACTTAATGCAAATATTATAGGCCTCTCATTGATATCAGCCATGGCTTTGATTACACCAGGAGTGAAAAGTCGGCCAGCTCCTGCAACTCCTGTAATAAAATAAGGGGGGGAAAAAAAGGAACTTCATTACAAGTAAAACATAGCCTTCTCATCAATAGCATTTCTATAATAACACAACAAAAGCACAGGTAAAGATAAGACCTGTGCTTATCCCATTACAAAGATAAGATTTCGCATTGCTGAGATAATTCCAATCTTAAATCTGAAAAGAGAAACAATAAAATGTTAAAAATTTTCACTTAAATATTTATTGTCTACCCCAGATATAGTAAATTGTGGGCAATAAAAAGAGTATAAGACTACCTCCATCATGTAGTTGTTGTCTAACACAGGGGTCCCCAACCCCGGGGCCACGGACTGGTACCAGTCTGTGGCCTGTTAGGAACCGGGCCGCACATCAGGAGGTGAGCGGCGGGTGAGGGAGCAAAGCTTCATCTGCATTTACAGCCGTTCCCCACTGCTCGCATTACCACCTGAGCTTTGCCTCCTGTCAGCATTACGGTGAGCTGTATAATTATTTCATTATATATTACAATGTAATATAATAGAAATAAAGTGCACAATAAATGTAATACGCTTGAATCATCCCAAAACCATCCCCCTCCCTGGTCTGTGGAAAAATTATCTTCCATGACACCGGTTCCTAGTGCTAAAAAGGTTGGGGACCACTGGTCTAACAGGCATAGGGCTTCAGCTTTTTTTTTTCCCTTTAACTTTTTATTTTATATTGGAGTAGAGCTGATTAGCAATGTTGCGATAGTTTCAGGTGCACAGAGAGCTTCAGTTTTACAAGGTAAAAAGAGTTCTGGAGATTGGTTGCACAACAATGTGAATGCACTTAACACTACCTCACTGTACACTTAGAAATGGTTATGGCAAATTTTATGTTATGTGTATTTTACCACAATTTAAAAAATTGTTTTAATTAAAAACTTGCACCTCAAATGTTAACTTGTTAAACTCTGTGGTATTCATTATAAAATAACAGGAGTTCAGAAGTGATAAAAGATCTTCTTGACTAAAGCAATCCACTTTTTTTTTTTTTTTTTTTTTGTGGTACGCGGGCCTCTCACTGTTGTGGCCTCTCCCGTTGCGGAGCACAGGCTCCGGACGCGCAGGCTCAGCGGCCATGGCTCACGGGCCCAGCCGCTCCACGGCGTGTGGGATCTTCCCGGACCGGGGCACGAACCCGTGTCCCCTGCATCAGCAGGCGGACTCTCAACTACTGCGCCACCAGGGAAGCCCCACAATCCACTTTCTTGATAGAGTTCAGTTTAATGACCTTTTAATAAGCCCCTACAATGTCTGAGACACTGTATTAGGCCATTAGGATATAAAAATGAACATAATGCAGGCAGCTTATAGTTGAGAGAAAAAACAACAGAGTGAACAGAAAATCAGAAAACCTGTAACAGGTGCTAAGCATGCAGTGCATAGAAGCACAGCATGAAGGAAGAATACTTAGCCCATGGTGGGAATCCGGGGATGACCAAGCAATGCCTCGGCTGAGTGCTTACACAGTTCATCCAATAAGACTTACATTCAACAGTCAAAGAAATTTAAAATTCCATTTTATAAACTGATATGTAATAGAGAAAAATACTGATCTGGAGACCAAAGTTTTAGCGCTTGCTCGGTCACTACTGGCTATATGAAATATTCACAAATCTTGGGCAAGTTGCCTAACATCTCTGTGCTTGTTTTTCTCATGTAAAAAAGGAACTTCCACTCAGTGTTTCCCCATGTGGAGGTATGTGGACATAGTCTTAGGAATCCATGAGTTCTAAAAGAATTAAACATTTTTTTCTTTTTGTTTCCTTGACCCTCCAGGGACTGAGTCAATGGACAGATTCTTAGGTTTCCATACTGAGTTTTGAGAGAGACACACTTGCAATCTTTAAGATTACTTCTCACTCTAAAAAATTATGAGTTCTAATCAGTGAAGAAGCTAATACAGGCATACTTTTCCTAACCATAAAGACTGTTTGAGACTTAAAACAGTAAGTTTACTATTTAACATTTCACAGAGCTCCTCCAAGAAATTGGCAAAATTACAAGAAAAATTATAGCTTCAAGTCTTACAGCTATATAGGAAATGAAATAGTCCCTCTTTTAAAGACTTTTACATTTTCTGCTCTGAACTTAATGCCATGTTGCATAGTCTGATGTCAGCTATGCAACGCCTGACTCTTAAAACATACCAAAGGCTTACAGCTTTGTTGCCAGTGAAAATCTTTAACTCTGCATAGGATTTTCTTGGTCTGTCAAATAACCTTGGTCTTTTTCAGGTTTTGAGCCCACCAGTCATACCAACTCTAAAAGCAAAGCATGATCAATCACACAGCTTCTGGAAGTTAGAAGTACAAGCAACATCCATTAACAAAACTTTACACACTGTATCTAAAAGCTACCACCTACAACACAGGGAACATAGCCAATATTTTATAATAACCATAAACAGAGTATAACCTTTAAAAATTGTGAATCACTACATTTACACCTGTCACTTATATGATATTGCACATCAGATATACTTCAATTTAAAAAAGCTATCATAGAAAACATTATATATGCTGAAAGCTAGGTAAAATCTGTCATTTCACTTTGAGTAATCCTGCATGGAAGTTATGACTGGCATTACACAGGTAAGTAACAGAATGACTTGACAACAACTTTACTTACCAATTATAGCTGAAGGCTTAAGTATATTTACTGCATCTTCAAAAGTATCAGGTACACTCTCTGGGGCTAAGTGAGCAAATGGTTCCTGATGACTGTCTATTGTAGCTTTCCGCCCCTGAATTTTTAGATAAAATACAGTTTTTTAGTAATTGCTTATTAAGGATTAATTGAAAAGACATCATTATAAGTCACATATTGTTTCTACAATAAGAATATCTTTTCATTTTCATGTACCTTTCTTTTTTTTCTTTTTTCTTTTTTTTTTTTTGCGGGCCTCTCACTGCTGTGGCCTCTCCCGTTGCGGAGCGCAAGCTCCGAACGCGCAGGCTCAGCGGCCATGGCTCACAGGCCCAGCCGCTCCGCGGCATGTGGGACATGAACCCGTGTCCCCTGCATCGGCAGGTGGACTCTCAACCACTGCACCACCAGGGAAGTCCAATGTACCTTTCTTTTTAACCCATATCTTCCAATTCTATCTTCATATTGCTCATAAACCCAAATATAAAACACAAATCAAATTCCATTATAACCAGAAACTTACTAATCCCTCTCAGAAACTCATTTACTCTGTGAAGTCCTCCTAAATCCAATAGGGCACAAAGGCCCACAATCCCTTATCTGGGCTAGCTGTGTTTTAAAATTCGGAATTTCATATTTTAGAACTGTCTTATGATAATATATCACAAATACCCTCGCAATGGGCACTCCACAACTGAACAGAACTTATGAATAGTCACACCAGGTACAAAAGGTGAAGATTAGAAATACCCTCTTTGGTCTTGCTACCAAAGTTAGTAGGTAAGTTCAGGTCTGTCAGATTTATAACCAAATGAATTTGAAGAAAAACTCAGGGATTTCAGAGTTCTTAGGATTTCAGAATTTCAGATAGACATCATGGACTTACACTACCAAAAGTTCAGAAACAAGAGGAAAGGGGAATTTTGGTTCAAGATAGCTGAATGAAGGAACATACTTTCCTCACCAAATCCCAGGTCAAAAACTGTAAAAATTAACTCCTTAGTAGTGTCACAAGGGCAGGAGATATACCACACTAGAACAATGAAGAATTTCTCAACAATGTAAAGCAGACAAAAACATGTGGAATGCAAAAACCAACCAGGCTGAGAAATCCTTATTTTGTTAAGAGAGAAGACCTCCCATGCAACGGTGACTTTTTCCATCAGAACTTCAGAATAACCCCAGGTAAGGACCAGCAGGGGCTGGGAAAAGTAGCACACCGTCATCACTTGGTTGGGAAGTAATTAAATGAGTGAAATACAGCCTCAACAGATCCAAGTTCTCAGAACAGTGGTTTCACATGCCTGCTCCCAGGAAGACCACAGCTCTTCCATGAGGGCTTCAACAGGAAACTCTCAAAGTCTCAGAAAGGAGGGCAGTGTTTTGGGTCCTCAGGAGAGATATGAAGCCTAAAGCTCATCTTAAAAGAAAAATATACCCTGAACTTGCAGATGCACAGGGTTTCTTCTCACTTGTATTCATTCTAAACTCGACTCATTACAAATATGATAAAGAATCACAAAACATTTATAAAAACCAACATCACAAAAAGAAACACCAACATAACTGCGTACTAGTAAAAACAGATACACCTCCCAATAGCCTTCCAAGTACAATGTCTTGTAATCCTTGTATCTTACATACAAGCAAATATGGCAGTTACAGCTTTGGGAGGCGGCACAGTTGAATGATTAAGAGCATAGGATTCACAGTCAGGCTACCTGGGTGTGAATCCTACCTCCATCACTTATAAGGTGATGATCTTGGAAAAGTGAGCTGACCTTTTTAAACCTCTTTCCCTCATTTGTAAAATTTCACTGAATTTTTGATAAGATCAAATGAGACTTTTTAAAAAAACTTTAAATGAGATAATACCTGTAAAGTCTTATCACAATGTCTGGTACATTTTTAAACACTTAAAAAAATTAGTTATAATTTAAGCATTCAAGATTTTTCATTCACATACTTTAATTTTTCATTTCATTTTTTTGTACTAATAGAATACTGGTACTAATTAAGAAAAGATTTCAGAACTGGAGCAAAGTACACTAACATAAGCTTGCCCAAAGATGTAGATGACAAGTAACCGCTATATCAATATATATGGCAAAAATACAACAGCATTGTGTACTGGATAAGTTCAACTATGAGACATTTTACCTACATTTCAATGTGTTACACAGTGTAAGATATAAGGCATTTCTTAAGCTACTAAAAATGGCAATCAATGATAGGAAGGCAGGTAGGTCCAAAGGATACGAAGTTGATCTGGGATAAAACTCTTTATTATCCATCATTTGACCTTAGGAATATGTGCCTTTTTCTGGGGAAAAGGTCCTTAGATTTCCATGAGATTGCTACAAGAGATTATGATCTCCAAAGGGTTAAAGAATTTCTGCTCAAATATCAGATGTCCTGCTAATGATTTAATTAGAAACTTCTGAATTCCTATGAAAAACCACTAGGTTTTAGACGGGTCAAGAGTCACAGAATAAAGCAAGAAAGAATAAGTCTGGTGCCAACACAGAGATTATGATTTGAATATGAAAAAAACCTAAACATATCACTATAACAACATTCTTTTGCTTCTCCAAATTTTAAATACCTTACCTTAAATAATAAACCGAATTTGTCAACCATCCAAATTTTCTTTTGCGCCTCTTCTTCTGAGAGGCCATTTTCCACCATAGCCATAACTATAAGATTTGCAATTCCAAGAGCAGCCTGTGCAACAAAACATAAATTTTAAAAAACAAGGACTAGAGTATGACGCAATACTAAATTACTTTATTTATGAGAATTATATGTTATGAGGAATACTGGGTCTATTCCTCCCTTACAAAGCACACAAAGCTTGATTCTTTGTGATATTCTTTCCAAACATTTAAAATTACCTATTCACAACACTGATCTTGAATTCACACCCTCTATCTCAACAAAATTGTAAGTTCATTATACCCCATTTTCCAATTCTAAAGGAGAGTGTTGGTTTTCAATCCTAAAAGCTTATAGGAACTTTACCTCTCCTGCTCCAAGAAATAAGATTCTGTGTTCTGAGATCGGTTTACCAATGACTTTTTGGGCTGCAAGCAGACCAGCTAGAGCAACTGCAGCCGTCCCTGTAAGACAAGTAAAACATTGTGATGTAAAAAGTAGGCACATTAAAAAAAATTTTAAGTAGGAATCAAAAACCTAAGGTTTTCTTTTGCTTTACCTTGAATATCATCATTGAAGGTACAGTATTTTTCTCGATATTTTCTCAAGAACCTGAATGCATTATGATTTCCAAAGTCTTCAAACTGAATAAGTGTGTTCTGTCCATATCTAAAAACAGCAAAGCCCATAATAGTTGTGTTGAAAATACCACTTTTAAACAGCTTTCCTGTCTAATAGTCCTTATGATCACATTTTAAAGTAATGTACCAAGTTAGTTCATTTAAGGCCATCTGGCAATTTTCAGAGTCTGTGAAAGACTAGAACTCAAAATGTAGAAAAATCTATTACTCATTCAGAAAAATGTATGAGGTTCTTAAAATGAATGTAGCACTATGATGGACCTATGGGATATTAATCTGCATAAACTATTACCAAGTGCCTAGGAGGGTGTCCAGCACATGTAAGCACAAGTAACTTCCTGAAAAGCAAGAGATTTTGTCTCTGAGTCTCAAAAAGTATATATTTGATATGTGAATTTTCATTACGTTCACAGTTAAACAGCAACACAGGCAAGTATATATTAAATAAGAGGTTAAAGAATAATTGCTGTATGAGTTGACTGGCATTCAGAAAAAGATATCAATCATCTTGGTGGGGTGGAGTAAGGGAAGGCTTGAAAAGGAGGTGGGACTTTATCTGGGTCCTGAAAGAACAACAAAAAGTAAAGCGGTAGAAAGAAAAACAAGGTGTATTTTGCTGACCCTGAATTTTCAACAGTCTGGCTATATATTTCAGGGTCTATATGAAAGTATAAGGGAGAAGTTGGTTAAGGTAGGTTGGAGCCAGATAACGGAGAACGTTGAATGCAAAATTAGGGATTGGGGACTTTATTCCGTATCTGATCTAGAATCACTGAAGGCTAGAGAAGGGAAGAATTCATCTGAGACTCCCTTTAGGAAGGATAAACCTGCCAGTGATACACAGCATATAACAACCTGGGGAGAGATGAGAAAGAAGGAAAAATAGCTAGACAGCTAGTATGAGAGGACGACAAGAAGATCTGAAGCAGAAGCCACAGGAAGTGAAAGGGACAATTAGGAGACATCAGAATGAACAAAAAGAAGTTGACAATGAGGACCACCTGAGAAGTGAGAGAGATGCTGGATGACTAAGAGGTACTATCTGATTGTCCAAGGTAAGGAAATGAGGGGAAGGGGAGGAGATGGCAATTTTGGGGAAGATAAAAAGTTTAGTTTTAGATATGTCAACTTTGATTCTGAAAAGAAGTTAATTTTTGCGGTACACGGGCCTCTCACTGTTGTGGCCTCTCCCGTTGCGGAGCACAGGCTCCGGACGCGCAGGCTCAGCGGCCATGGCTCACGGGCCCAGCCGCTTGGTGGCATGTGGGATCTTCCCAGACCGGGGCATGAATCCGTGTCCCCTGCATCGGCAGGTGGACTCTCAACCACTGCGCCACCAGGGAAGCCCAGGAGTTAATTTTTTACTATCTTCCATGTACCAATAATCTACAAGGTAGGGCAGGGCTAGATCATAAAGAGTTTGGACTTTACCCTATGGCAACATGAAACCACTGATAGATTTCAAACAAAAGAATGATATAACAAAGTGCATGTTTTTAAAAGACTAATCTGGTGGTAAGGTGGAGAGGAAATGGAGAGAAGTTGGAGGAAGGTTCTAAAGAATCCAAAAGAGAGATGAAGATCTGAAGAAAGGCTGTGGCAATGGAAAAGAGGAGATATATTTCTGAGGCATTTAAGGGATAGTACCAACTGGATGTGAGGATTGAGTGACACTATACGGGGTTGATGGAGGAGGAGAAAGAGTCAAAGATTAGACCAAGATCAAAGGTCTGGCGACAACGCTGTCAACCATGTTAATGCCATTATTAGAGGCTGGATTTACAGAAGACAGGCAATTTAGAAAGGGAAGGAGTTGTTCTGGACATGAATATGAAGGAGCAACAAAATGTCTGGATGGAGGATTCCAACTGTTGGGAACTCAAGCCTCAGAGGGATGTGGGAGTACAGAGATGGGTATTCATGGACTTAGGAGTCACGTGCATAAAGGTCATAGCTTACAAGACTACGACAAGAGAAGAGAACTATGTATTCACACACATTTAATAAGAGAGGAAGAAAAACCAGTGGAGATGACAAAGGAAAGAAAAAAGGTGGGAGAAAGACCAAGTTAGGAAAGTCTTTTAGTGGTCAAGAGAAAACAATTCCAAGGATGTAGGAGTGGAAAACCTGGTCAGATGCTGCAAGGAGGAGGAGAGAGAAGAAGACCAAATGGTCAGAATTTAAAACACGAAAGCTGCACAAGGGTTTCACTGGAATGGTGGAGTCAGCCTGGATGCCAAGGGCTGGAAGAACCGCACAGTGAGGGGATTTTAGGAGCAGTGAGTGCAGACTTCAAGATTTCAGTGTGCTCAAGATGTCAGATAACTCAGGAAGGCAAGGCAGAGGGTATCACCACACATCAGCACATCGAATCAGGCAGGAAAGAACCTAATTTCTCCAAAATTTAATCTCCTTCTACCTATCTTCACAAAAGATAAAGGAAAACAAAACTGTGGTTCCTTTTTTTTTTTTTTTAAGAGATGCTTTCATATACTCAAACTTTTAAAAAATACCTGTCAGTAATGGCCTTCATAAACTCATCAATCAGATCATCGTAACGTTGTGATCGATCTCTTTTCTGATATAAACCCATGTAAAATGGATCTTTTAAGAGTGCCTATAAAAGAGAACAAACGTAAAAATAAAAGCATTCTGTTATATAACCAGTTTAAACACATTCTATAAAACGAAAATTGTAAAATAAAGAAGTTAATAATTTTTAAAACTTTATTGCCCTTCTTCAAAAAACTTAATAGTATTAATTTACTATTATTTGCATAAATATTAAAAGGCGTTTAAGACAAAGGCTAATATCTAATCACAGAATTTTCTCTTCTTATATTTCTTCAAAAGAGGAATGTAATAAAGCAGTTTTTTTTTTTTAATATGGGAGAAGGGTCAAAGGGGGAAAATGATTTTACTCACTGGATTATCAGTTCCTACATCAATACACACAGGCAGGCATCTATCAGGCCGTATTCCAGCACAAGCTGTATACAAACAAAGTTTTCCTACTGGGATTCCCATTCCATAGACACCCAGATCTCCAAGACCCAGAATTCTCTCTCCATCAGTCACCACAACAGCCTTAATTACAAATAAGATAAAGTAAAATAAATTATAAGTTGTCCAAAATGGAGCACTTAAGAAACACATTCACAAAAAGATTCTCTTCATCACAAAATAGCACGTATTAGATTATTCCATTCACATGAACATGTAAAGCTACAGAGAGAGAAGTGCATTAGTGGTTGTCTAGGGCTGAGTGGGGAGTGACACTAATGGGTACAGGGCTTTTCTGGCAGGGTGGGGATGAGGGAGCTGTGATGAAAATGTTCTCAATGACGATGGCTGCACAACTCCGTGAATATACTACAAATTACTGAATTTACATTTTAAGCCAGTGAATTGCATTGTATGTGAATTTTATCTCAGAAAAGCTACTGTTAAAAACAAAACAGAAAACCTCAAAAAAAGATTCTCTTTACATAGTTTCACTCTCACTTTTAAAAAGAAAATTGTTTCTTAACTAACTTTCAAAGTTCACCAACCAAGAATACTTAAAATTCTAGGGTTTCTAGAATATAGATGTAAAGAGGAGAATTAACTAGATTTGATTTCCCTGTGTCTTTGGTTTAGGAGTAGAATGCTTCTGACTAGAGGATCAACTTGAATACGTTCACAATGACTAAAAAGGGGAGAGGGGAACTTCTGATAAAGATTAACCCTAAGAGAAAAAAAGAGTTTAGAAATAACATGTTACTCCAAATAATAACTGAAGCCAAACAAGAAAAACCTTAGCAATGGAGAAAAAAATCTAGAATAAAAAATACACCTACAAGGTTTTAAGAGGATACTATGAATTTAATTATCTGACCAAATTTTTTTTAGGTTATTAGAACAAATGATAATTCATCAAAGATTATTTTGGTGAGGAAAACACACAATAAAGGCAACTAAGATTACTGCCTTAATAAACACTAAAGCCTACCAAAAGATCTTAAATAAGTCATTAGTTTTTGTTTTATGAAAGACAGCCAGATTGACAGCTGTTTATATTTGCTAAATTTGAAATGCTAAGAGTGTTATATTTGCTTAAGGATCTAAATCTATCTTAGAATTAGAAGAAAAAAGACATAATGAATCCTCCCCATTGCCCACCAGAATAAAAGTTTTTATGGCATTTTAATGTATTTTCTTTACCTAGAATAATATTAACTGAAAAAGTAAAGGAATATAGAGAAGGCAAGAGATACCAGTGGTACTGAAGTGAACAGGCTCACCTTACTAGGCCCAGTTGCTTTCCCAGGGCAAACTCTATACCAGTAACCCATTTTATAATTACTATCATGATTTCCTCAGAGCACTAAATCTACATGTATGCAAGTACAAAATAAATCAGAGCAACAATGAAAAAAAACTGTTCTTGAAAATTTTGCCTTGTAAGAGGTAACTTACATAGAAAGAAAAAACATTGTGAAAGGAAGGTTGTGCTATTAGTACCTTAACATGATTTTCTGGCCAGTTATCCACAATTGATCTAACATGACCTCTGTCTGAGATTGAAATAAATAATCCCCTGCAACAGAACAAAAACACTTTTGCATTTCACAACAGTTTTTGGTTTTTTCTAAGTTTTTGTTCATAATTGGAATATTTAGATATTTTAGTAAAACATCAAGACACTGTCATTTCCAAGCAGATTTACCTAAGTCACACAGGTTTATTTTCAACCACTTCAAACTGTAATTGCATTGTTCACATAGTAGCTGCAACAAAGGTTATTATTAAATGATGTGATCATTTTTACCCAAGAAGAAATGTATCCACATCTCCTATTCAAATAAACTCAATATACCTCCAGTAAAAAGCAATATAAAGACAACCCACCAATGCAGGAAAGCACGATAAAGCTAAGTAAAGTACTGTCAAAAGTCACTGAGACTGAAAATTTGAAATCTGAAGGAGCAGGAAGGGAGAGAAGAAAACTATAGTAATTTCACATAAAAAATCCATCCTTGAAGCATTAGGAAAAAGTAAAAAGTTATTTTAAACACTGTATATTGTTATCCAATTGAGATAATCCAGATTTCAATAAAGGAAGAGAGGAAGGCAGGAAGAGAGACAGAAAAAAGAAACATAGGTTCTAGAAAACAGGCCAAGTAAAGACGAGGGCCAATGGGCTCCCAGTGCCTTCAGACTGATTCTTAACTTTCTCACTGATATCCTTTTTAAAAAATTTATTTTACTGAAGTATAGTTGATGTACAATGTTGTGTTAATTTCTACTGTACGGCACAGTGATACAGTTATACATACATATACACATTCTTTATCATATTCTTTTCCATTACGGTTTGTCAAAGGCTATTGAATACAGTGCCCTGTGCTATACAGTAGGAACTTGATGCTTATCCATTCTTCTCATCGACATCTTAACTTTGGCATTACTATCCCAGCTTAAATCAGTTTAAACGGTGTCTCAACCAGAGCTTCATAGTAGAATCATCTGAAGAGCTTTTTATTTTATTTATTTATTGATTCTTTTTGCAGTACGCGGGCCTCTCACTGTTGTGGCCTCTCCCGTTGCGGAGCACAGGCTCCGGACGCGCAGGCTCAGCGGCCATGGCTCACGGGCCCAGCTGCTCCGCGGCATGTGGGATCTTCCCGGACCGGGGAACGAACCTGTGTCCCCTGCATCGGCAGGCGGACTCTCAACCACTGCGCCACCAGGGAAGCCCATCTGATGAGCTTTTTAAAATGCCAGGGTTCTACCCCCAGAGATTCTGATTTAACTAGCTTGGACTTAAACAACCAAGACCTACTGACCATCTTCTATGTAAAAAACAAAACAAACAAAAAACCACTGCCGCTGCACAAATGATACACAGTATCTGCCCTCACCCAAAAGCTCTTTATGTTTCATGTGAGTTCTCAACTCTCGGTGCACATCAAAATCACACCAGGAGATTTTATGAAACAGCAACACCTGGGCCCAACTCTAGACAAACTGAATCAGAATCTCTGTGGTTGGGGCCCAGGCATCAGTATCTTTTTGTTTTCCTTTGTCCTTTAATCTGGATTGGGAAGTACTATTATAAGTGAAAATGAAACTATAAAAGAGCTCAACAGCTGGGTTATACCACAGAAATGCTTAGACATATTAATTGATGGCAGCACATAGGACAGAACAGACAGTGTTCTCAAAGTGTCTTCCGGGGAATACCTGCAACACCATCACCGACGGTGTTCATTACAATCCGGACCTCCAGACCTTTCTCTTTTTCATCAGAATCTTGGGAATAGGAAGGAGAGGAAAGTTGGCAAGGATGAACATTTTAAGTAAGCCCCACAGATGTTTCATACGCACATTAAAGTTTGAAAGCCACTAGAGTACATGAGAGGAGACTAAAGATAAATGCTATCACACAGTGTTTGCATTTCTACATTTGTATCAATATGTAAGCAGGACATGGGAAAAACATAAGGATTGTGGAAAATGATTACACGTTAGAGGAACAGAGAAGAAAACTCAAATTAAGTAAAAATAGCATTTATACAACGCTTATAAGTTTACAGAACACTGTCACATCAGTTCCCTCATCTGACCTTCTCAGCAGCTCTTTGAAAGATACTCTGGCACTCCTACCTTATGATAAACAGATTCGGAGGAATAAGGTAACTTATTCAAAGACTTGAGCCAATGCTCATTCCAGTACCCTTTCCACTTAAAATATTTGGAGGTACTTGAACTATCTGAAAGTAAAATTTGTGTAAATTCATAAAAAAGGACAAACAATAGAAATAAAGCTGATAAAAAAATGAGAATCTCTCTCTTAAGTGGCCAGATTGTCAAAAACTTTTATGATTATTCTGCAGAATACGCCACCAAAATTAAGAATACTGTGGGTTTTTTTTTTTTTTGGTACAAAAATGCACATTTCCTCTAACAATCATAAATACTTAAAGAAGGTTAGGAATAAATGATGGTATTTCCACAAAATAAAAGATATGACATGTTAGATTTTTATTAATCCCTTTTGGTCCAAATTAAGCTTTTGTGAGGTGGGAAATGTGGTTGGATAAGACTGCAATACATAAAATAGAAATGTAATAGGGGCTATGAAGTGATGTTTTTTCTACGCAATAGTCATTTGCAAATATATTTTTAAAAATAAGCCTTACCTAGGTCTTCTAAAGATGTGTCCATACTGGGAGCAGGCAAGACCAACTGTTGGTGTATATACAATTGGCATTAGACTTTCGATATCATCTTGGAGTATTCTGTAAAACAACTTCTCATTTCTTTCTTGTATTCCCATTATATAGATGTATCTGAAATTAAGCACAGCAAATAATGTCTACATCAGCCAGCATTAGGCTAAAGACTTTGGCCTTTGAAGTCAAATCTAAACATCTAAAATTGAGGACTCCCTCCCCCTGGAAAACAAAACCCTATATTATCATTACATAATACCCAGGACTAAAAATCAACAAAAATAAAAATGTGCTTAAATGGTAGATGGTGATGATGAAAAGAGTAATAACAGAACCAACAGGTAACATTTATTGAGCTCTAACTGTGAGTCAGGCTCTGTATCAGGCACTGGAAACACAAAAATTACCATGAGGCCCCACCTTCAAGGACCTAATCTTCAAGGTGACTGACACGTAAATAAGGAAATAAAGTGGCATTCATTCAAATATTTACAAAATACTATGTGCCAGGTACTATTCTGAACTCCAGGGATGTAAGAAGTGCCCCTGTCCTCGTGGAGTGAGTTTGTTTGTTTATTTATTTACCCATCCATCCATCCATCCATCCATCCATCCATCCATCTGTCCGCAGCACATGGCATGCAGGATCTTAGTTCCCTGGCCAGGGATCAAACCCTTGCTGCCCTGCAGTAGAAGCAAGGAATCCTAACCACTGGACCACCAGGGAATTTCCCTCATGGAGCTTATAATCCAGGAGGCTTATAGGCATTTTAAGTTCTATACAGGGCACACAGGTAGCACAAAAGGAGGCAATGGTCAATTCACATAAATATATAAATAACAGCTTTTAAAGAATAAAGGTTAGAAAACAGGGAGATGTTGGCCTGAAAAACCAGTAATCACACTGAATTAAATATGTCTAAAACAGACTCATTGTCTTTTCCCCACATTTGTTTCTCCTCTTGTTATCATCTGATCAAATGGGAATCCATCCAGAGTCCATTCTTGATTTCTTCCTCTCCCACCCTCCCCCACCCCAACCTAATAAATCAGTATGTCCCACAGAGACTACCTGTGAAATATCTTTCAAATATTTATTTCCTCCCTCCATCCCCACCCAGCCCAAGCCACCGTCACTTCTCACCTGGGCTACCTCAAGAACCGTTTTTTTTCAAACCTTATTAACACCACAGATATCAAAGCAACAGCCTTTATTTTATTTTTTTATTTTAGGATTAAAGCTTCTATGTTTGTTTAGTAAACAAACCATTAAGCTAAAAACTAGAGAATAAGTAACCAAAGATTAAAAGAGCACAGAGGTATTGTTGAAAAAAATTAAAAATAAATATAGTAAAGTTAGTTTTTTTTTTAATTGGAGTATAGATGTTTTACAGTGTTGTAGTCTCTATTCTCACAATTTTGTTCCCCTGCTCCAATCCTATTCTTCTCTTAAAAACATACCTCTGATCATTTCTATTCTCCCTGAATGGCTTCCAAATGCCAGTTTAATAGGCTTAAGCTCCTAAAATAGTTAACTAGACCTCAATGACTACTTTCCAGCCTCATCTTCATACTGAATTACTTCACCTCCTCAAATGCACCACAATTCTGACCTTGGAGTTGCAGCACACGCCGACACACCCTTTGCCTGGAACACCCTCTGACCAGGCACAGTCCTCTACTCATGCTCTCCAAATGCAGCTCAGTTGGCACACTCTCTGGGGTCCTTTTCTGTCATTCCCTGCCCCCCACCACACATATATACACTTCAGATTTTCCTGTCTTCAGGTCCCGTTAACACTCTCCTCCCTCTTCTTTAACTCTCATGCCACTTCTTGACTTTGTCTTCCCTCCATGGTACCATGAGTTCGAGACTATATATATTTTCATGTATATATATATGCCCCATAATGTAAAGAAACCACTCTCACTAGTCACCAATATCCAATAATCCCCTATATTTTATAAACCCAATAAATATTTTTAGTTCTACAGTCAGACTGATCCCTCTACCAGAATACCCTGCCCTTCTTTCTCATTTTGCCTGCTCCCTGTAACATATTGTTTCAAATTCAGCTCAGGCATCACTTCCTCCAGGAAGTGACTCCCCAAGCTCGGCTGGCACCCCTCTTCACATTTTCAGAATGTACTCTACAGGTCCCTTTTTCTCACTGTGCTATACAATGACAGTCATAGTATAGCCATCTATTGATGAGCTCCTAGAAGGCAGGCTAGGCTGTGAGTTACTGCGGTAGCCATACATTCTAATTTGCCCGGGACAGTTTCAGTTACTTCTTTTTTACTCCCCAAAGTGTCTGGGATTGGACGATATATTACATGGCCACCCTACCTATCACCCAGTTTATATCCTCAGTGGCTAGCAATGGCACACACAAAGTAGGTGATCAATAAAAGTTATTGAATAGAATGGGTGCAAATTAGGTGATAGCCTCTGCTTCTAACATTCCATTCAAACCTGAAATGCTCTGTGATTTTAACCATAAAATATTGATTTCTGCTAAATTTTACAATAGTGAAAATAAGTGAAGGAAACAATCATTATAAACCAACTGACTAAAACAAAAGTTTCATTGAGACTGTATATTTCTCATGCGATAATAATCATAATACTCCCAATTTTTCTGATCAGAACACCAATAAAAAAACTAAACATCTAATCAACTCTTACTTTTCCAAAGGGCCATTCAACTTTTTCACATTTCTGTGGAATCGTAAGGCTTGAATATCTTGTGTCTCTATTTTGGGAGGTAGAAGTCCTTGAAGACCAAGCATTTGTCGTTCCTGTAATGTAAATGCCATCCCCTAAAAAGGAAAAAACAAAAGGATTAAAAATTATTACTTACAGGGGTAGCAATGGTGCGTCCTACCAAACATAATTTAAACATAAACTTAAAAAGATCAACAAGATATCATTTTTGCCCGGACTTTCATAAATTTATAAGACTGATCATATCTAGTACTGGGGAGGGTATGGTAAAAGAATTACTCTCACATACCATTGCTGGAATATAAACTGGTTTAGGCTTTTTGAAAGCCAATTTCAAAGTACTCTTAGATTTTTTTAAAATGCGCATACTTTATTATTTTTTTAACTGAAGTATAGTTGACTTACAATATTAGTTTCAGGTGTACAACATAGTGATTCAATGTTTTTATAGATTAAACTCCATTTAAAATTATTATAAAATAATGACTATATTTCCCTGTGCCGTACAATATATCCTTGTAGCTTATTTATTTTATACAAAGTAGTTTGTACCTCTTAATCCTCTACCCCTATCTTGCCCCTCTCCCCTTGCCTCTCCTCTCCTCCTAACCACTAGTTTGTTCTCTATATCTGTGAGTCTGTTTCTGTTTTGTTATATCCATTCACTTGTTTTGTTTTTTAGATTCCACATACAAGTGACATCACACAGTATTTGCCTTTGTCTGACTTATTTCATTGAGCATAATACTCCAGGTCCACCCATATTGTTGCAAATGGCAGAATTTCATTCTTCTTTATGGCTGAATGATATTCCATTGTGTGTACATATATCTTCTTTACCCATTCATCTTTTGATGGACACTTAGGTCGCTTCCATATCTTGAATGCACACAAAGCAATTCTACTTCTAGTTAGTTATCCTAGAGATATATTCATATATAGAGACGCGTATATGAAGAGATTAGTTGTAGCACTGTTTCCAGTTCTCTTGCCTACTACAAACTAACTAAAAGTCCATCAATTATGGAAGAGTTAGCAACCTATGGTATTTCCATAAAAACACTTAAACATGTATCTCTAAGTGTGCAGTAGAAAGATCTCCCAGATACACAGTTAGGAGAAAAAGTCAAGTTGAAAATCAAAACAAATTCACTGTTAATTATTATGTTTAGAAAACCCCCATAAAGTACATATTATATACAGATGCATGCATACGTTAAAAATGAAATCAACAGAATACAGTTTGAAAGAACACAAACCAAATTAAGAGGCTACCGTGACTGGAAAGGAGTGAGGCTGAACAGAGGGAGGGGGAAGGAAGAATGCTACTTAAGAAAAATTAACCTATGTAATAAATTCTTTTTCAGTTTCTGGTATTCAGCTATGGGTTAAATTTTTTTTTTTTTAATCAATGATGTCAGTAAAAATGCCAGAGAAAGGACTTCTAAAAATCTTTTCCTCCATAAAAGCAACAAGAACCCTGGCCAAATGATCAGAATTCTGGAAATTAACCAAAGCTTTCAGCAGTTGGAGAGCATTTATTCAAGAAAAACTGCTGAATATCAGTGAGAACAGCAAGCTTCATGGCATTTTAACTTGCCTTGTTCCTATCTCCCCTCCCCAGCTCCACAGTAACCTTGAAAACGCAATCACTGTGAAACAATCGCTTTGAAAATCAGAGCCTGGAAGTCACTGGAGAAGGCAGGAGGGTTTGGAGATTCTTCTAAAGCCCCATGTCCAGGAAACTGTTATTATCTGACCTGGAAGACCCTATCTGCAAGGCTGTCTTTATTTGACCTGCTGGAGAAGGCAGGAGGGTTTGGAGATTCTTCTAAAGCCCCATGTCCAGGAAACTGTTATTATCTGACCTGGAAGACCCTATCTGCAAGGCTGTCTTTATTTGACCTGACTTGGAGCTCAGGCAGTGTGAACAGCCTTTCCCGCCAGAAGGGTCTGTTGAAAACAATCAGAGGCAATTATTTAACATAGCAGCTCCCCAAGGCAGTAGGTAACAGTTGGGGCAAAGAACAGGCTAACCAAAAAGCTGAAAAGGAAAAGCTGAGAAATGAGATGTCCATGGGGAACTTTGAAATGCTGAGACATATTCCTGAGAACCTAGAAGGTCATATGCACAGCTGTACGCATGTCCAGGAAAGACCTGAGAAAGCCCTGAGAAAGCCCTAAGCTCCCACCTCTGGCTAACCTTGAGGCTCTGTGTAAACAGGAAGTGAAGGCTGATGCGTAGCTGTAAACTGCCTGGCTGAGTCCTGAAGGCACACCCCAGCAGGTACACAAAGCCCCCTGGCAAAGAATGGGAGATTTAATGGTTCTAGGTATTTCAGTTACTGTTTAATCATTGGCTGATCACTAAGTTAACAAAGCAGAGACTTCAGTAGGCATACATAACAAGAAGAAGGAATTAGTTCAGAAACGACTGGGAGGAATGAATATCTGGTTTCCAGGGCAGCCACATTATTTTAAAAGCCCAGTTTTCAACCAAAAATCATAAGGCAAGCAAAAAACAAACAAACAAACAACAACAGCAACAAAACACATAAAGTCTGACTCATATACAGGAAATAAGGGCAGTTAATTGAAATTGCCCCTGGGGAAGCCCAAACATTGTACTTACTAGACAAAGACTTTAGTTATTCTAGGGGAGGGATAAATTGGGAATTTGGGATTAACACACTACTATATAAAAAACAGATAAACAATAAGGACCTACTGTACAGCACAGGGAACTATATTCAATATCTTGTAATAATCTATAATGGAAAAGAATCTGAAAAAGAATATACTTTGCTGTATACCTGAAACATTGTAAATCAACTATACTTCAATTTAAAAAAAGAAAAAAGTTAGTTATTTTAAATATATCAAAAAAACTAAAAAAAAAACCATTGTCTAATGAACTAAAAAGAAGTATGAGAATGACATCCTACTAAATAGAGAATACTGATAAACAGAGAAGATAAAAAAGGAACTAAATAGAAATTCTGGAATTGAAACTACAACAACTGAAATAAAAAATTCACTAAAGGGGCTCAACAAGCAGACTTGAGTGGTGGAAGGAAAAAACCATCAGATTTAAAGATTGGTCAGCTGAGATAATCCAGTCTGAGAAATAGAAAGGAAAAATTAAAAAAAACAAAAAACAAAAAAAACAAACAAAAAGAAAAATAAGGAATAAATGTGAACAGACCTGAGAGACCAGCAAGAGTACCAACACATACATAACAGGAGGCCCAGAGGTGAGGAGAGAAAAGGCTAAAGAATATTTGAAAACATAATGGCTAAAAACCTCCCAAATTTGATGAGAAGCATTAATCCACACATCCAAGAAGCTCAACAGCTCCAATCAAGAAAAACTCAAAGAACTCTACCCCGAGACACATCATATTCAAACTGTCAAAAGCCAAAGACAGCAGAAATCTGAGAGCAAAGTGACTCATCACGTGCAGGGGATCCTCAAAAAGCGTAACAGCTGATTTCTTATCAGAAACCACGGAGGCCATAGACAGTGCTGAAAGAAAAATAACCTGTCAACCACGAATTTCTAAATCCTACAAATCCATCCTTCAAAAATGGAGAAATTGGGCTTCCCTGGTGGAGCAGTGGTTGGGAATCTGCCTGCCAATGCAGGGGACACGGGTTTGAGCCCTGGTCTGGGAAGATCCCACATGCCGCGGAGCAACTAGCCCCGTGAGCCACAATTACTGAGCCTGTGCATCTGGAGCCTGTGCTCCGCAACAGGAGAGGCTGCGATAGTGAGAGGCCCGCGCACCGCGATGAAGAGTGGCCCTCACTCGCCGCAACTACAGAAAGCCCTCGCACAAAAACGAAGACCCAACACAGCCATAAATAAATAAATAAATAAATGGAGAAATTAAGACATTCCAGATAAACAAAAACAGAGAATTCATTGCTAACAGACTCGTCTCACAAGAAATACTAAAGGGAGTCCTTCAGGCCTAAATTAAAGACATTAGACAATAATTCAAATCCACACAAAAGAAATAAAGAACACGGATAAAATGACTACATAATATAAAAGACAGTATAAATGTACTTTTTGTTTGTAGATCTTTTTCTCTCCTACCCAATTTAAAAGACAATTACATAAAGCAGTAATTATAAATCTGTGTTGACCGTCATGCAACGTATAAAATGTAATTTGTACTTTGTATGACGAAGCAGCACAAAAGAAGGAGATGGACCTCTACAGGAGCAAAATTTTGCTGTACTGTTTAAATTAAATTGGTATCAAACTGAACTAGACTGTATTAAAGATGGTAATTGTAATCCTCAGGGCAAACCACTAAGAAAATAACTCAGAAATAGGCAGGAAAAGAAAAGACAAGGGAATTTAAATGGCATCATAGAAAATTTAATACAAATGAAGGGAACAATGGAGTAAAGAGGAACAAAAGGCACATAAGACATTTAAAACAAATAGCAAAATAGCAGACATAAATCATACCTTATTAGTTATTACACTAACATAGATGGATTAAACTCTATAATTAAAAGGATTGGCAGAATGGATAAAAAAACATGATCCAATCATATGCTGACTACAACACACACACTTTGATTCAAAGATACAAATAGGTGGAAAGTAAAAGAATGGAAAAAGATACACCATGTCAATAGTAACCAAAAGAGAGTTGGAGTAGCTATGTTAGTAACAGACAAAATAGACTTTGAAACAAACATGTTACTAGAGGAGGGCATTTTGCTGAAAGCATCAATCCATTAAGAAGATACAACAATTATAAACATATTTTGTTAGATAACAAAATACATGAAGCAAAAACTGACAGAATTCGGGAGTAAGACAATTCAACAAGCTGAAAATTTCAATATCTCATTTTCAATAATGGAAAAAACAACTAGACAGAAAATCAACATGGAAAAAGAAGACTTGAACAACACCATAAAGCAACTAGACCTAGCAGACACTCCCCTCAAAAGAAGCAGGATACACATTCTTTTCAAGTGCACAAGGAATATTCCCCAGGACAGACCATTCATCAGGCCATAAAACGAGTCTCAATAAATCTGAAAGGATTTAAGTCACCCAAAGTATGATCTTCAACCACAATGCAATGAGATTAGAAATTAACAATGGGGGACTTCCCTGGTGGCACAGTGGTTAAGAATCTGCCTGCCAACACAGGGGACACTGGTTCGAGCCCTAGTCCAGGAAGATCCCACATGCCACGGAGCAACTAAGCCTGTGAGCCACAACTACTGAGCCTGCGCTCTAGAGCCTGCGAGCCACAACTACTGAGCCTGTGTGCCACAACTACTGAAGCCCGTGCACCTAGAGCCCGTGCTCCACAACAAGAGAAGCCACCGCATTGAGAAGCCCGCACACCATGACAAAGAGTAGCCCTCACTCACCGCAACTAGAGAAAGCCCGCGCATGGCAACGAAGACCCAACGCAGCCATAAGTAAATAAGTTAATTAAATAAGTTTTAAAAATAAAAGAAATTAATAATGGACATTTGGGAAATTCACAAATACTTTGATCTTAAACAACACACTCCTAAAAACCAATTGGTCAGAGAAGAAAGCACAGGGAAATTAGAAGATACTTCCAGATGAATTAAAACACACATACCAAAACTTATAGGATACAGTGAAAATAATGCTAAGGGAAATTTGTAGCTGTAAATGTAACTTAAAAAGGCAGAATGATTTCAAATCAATTGCCTAACCTTCCATCTTAAGAAACTAGGGGGAAAAAGGAACAAACTAAACCTGAAGCAAGAAGGAAGGAAATAATAAAGATTACAGTGAAAATAAATAAATAAAATAGAAAAAAACAATTGGAAAAATTAAAAGATTAAACCAAAAGTTGGTTCTTTGTAAAGACCTACAAAATTGATGAACTTTTATAATGAAAAAAGGGGGAGAAGACTCAAATCACTAAATCCTTTGTGCCTCATGTCGCTCCTTACAAGATTTTATCTAAGGTTGGAAAATATAAAGGGGTTAAAACCCCTGTATTTTTATATAGTTTTAAATGAACTGTGTTCATTTAAAAGTGCTTTACCTATCCTATTGCCAAAGATAAATGAGTAGCTACACATGGTTTCACTGCCTATCTCCCATTTAGATTTAAGAAACACTCAAAAGTGTTTTATTTATAATGTACAGTAGAAATTAAAATGATTATTAAAGAAATAATTTTATGTATTAAGTATTTATGTTAATAGTTGATCAAATTCTTAAATTTGCTGGCCTGGTGTAAGTGAAGACAACATAGTTTAAAATAGATGTCTTGATTAGCTCTTTAACAGTCAGCAGAAACAACCTTCCTCTCACCTGCCCTTCTCCTACTCTTTTCTGTCTTCCAATGCCACTTGTTCCACCAAACCTCTTTTGCTCATCTACACAACCGCAATGCCCTCCCAATTTACACAGAAGTGTACCTCCCTCTGCAACAGAGCAGGACCCTATGGTCTTTGCCCACCCCCATGTCCTCAGTCAAAGGAGACCACATAATAATTGTTTAGTCGTTAAGCATAGTCAAGGCCCTTTAGTCCCTCCTTAAGGGCTACAGATAACATTCTGAGCTGTATCCTGGGAGCTGTCTTATAGATACTGAAACACTCACCAGGTGGAAGAAGTTAACTATGTGATGACCAGGCTGTAGCCATGACATAAGCTGCCACAATTGCGAGAACTGGCCTCAAAGAAATGAGAACCAACCCTGGAACTGAAGATTAACTGTACCTAAAACAATCAAGGTGACACTGGTCGGACCACCAATGACCAATGTCAAGATGACTGTCAGAGCTGACTGTGCTGCTTCTGCACGTAGGCGCCTCCCTCGACCTATGAAAGCTCTTGCCCACTGGCTGTGGGGGGCATGTATGCCTCTGGACGGGCATCTGCCCTCCCCCCTCGTTGCTGGCATCCAAAATAAAGCAAACTTAACTTTCCATCAATCTTGCCTCTTTAATGGCTTTTGAGCAGTGAGCAGCTGGACCCTACTTTCAGTTACACTTTGGCTGATCTTGAGCTATTTTCCTTTAGATACATGCCATTTCTCCACATGAGTCAATATTGATAAAAATCCCTTAACTAGACTCTTCAGTGTGCAGGTAAGCATACTAGGGGGGGAAATAAAAGGCCCCTTCTATTTCTTTCCCTCCAAGGGCAGTTAGAATAATCCATCAGGGATTAGGAAATTACCAAACATTTATAAAAATGACAATATGACTAAACGGGATAAATCTAAATATACTGCATCTGGCCAACAGTTCTGGCCAATATGCTACTCTTGGGTTTTTGTTTTGTTTTGCTTTTGAGCTAGAACTAGGAAATAAACTCAATCCTTCTTGGGTGGTAGAAACTGTGAGGGTGAAATTTGGGAGGTATAAAGCAGCCATAATTGTCACAATGCGGAGAAAAGAGAAAATTCATGCACACTTCCGAACAGTTTTAGTATAAAGCTACAGAATACAAAAATTTCATACTTTATCAGTCTAAAATATATCAAACCTTTACCAGGAAGAGAGAAAATGTGTGTTAGAATTAATGTTACTAACCTTGTTTGTTCTTGGGTTCAACATAAGTGGCTTGCCTTTCTCTTTTATGTGCAAATGACGACATGCCAGAGTACAAGAAGTGGCAACTATTTTAAACCTGGACAACATCGTTTCTCTCACCTGGGAAAAACAAAGCAAATAAAGATGATGAGAAACATATTATAGAACTGCATGAATATCAGGGATCAGTTTTCAAAAGCAGATTTAGAAAGCTTCACTTCCCACAAGTGAAAAAATTTTTTCAAAATACATTTATGTTGGCAGAACCTTCAAGTTAGCAGAGGAGTAAGACGTGGAAATCACCTTCCTCCCCACAAATACATCAAAAATACATCTACATGTGGAACAACTCCTACAGAACACCTACTGAACGCTGGCAGAAGACCTCAGACTTCCCCAAAGGCAAGAAACTCCCCACTTACCTGGGTAGGGCAAAAGAAAAAAGGAAACACCGAGACAAAAGAATAGGGACGGGACCTGCACCTCTGGGAGGCAGCTGTGGAGGAGGAAAAGTTTCTACACACTAGGAAGCCCCTTCACTGGTGGAGACGGGCAGTGGGTTGGGGGGAAGCTTGGGAGCCAGGGAGGAGAGTGCAGCAACAGGGGTGCAGAGGGCAAAGTGGAGAGATTCCTGCACAGAGGATTGGTGCCGACCGGCACTCACCAGCCCGAGAGGCTCCTTTGCTCTCCCGCCGGGGCGGACGGTGGCTGGGAGCCTCATGGGAGCTGAGGCTCGGGCTTCAGAGATCAGATCCCAGGGAGAGGACTGGGGTTGGCTGCGTGAACACAGCCTGAAGGGGGCTAGTGAGCCACAGCTAGCAGGGAGGGAGTCCGGGAAAAGTCTGGAACTGCCTAAGAGGCAAGAGACCATTGTTTCCGGGTGCGTGAGGAGAGGGGATACAGAGCACTGCCTAAATGAGCTCCAAAAGAGGGCACGAGCCGCAGCTATCAGCGCAGACCCCAGAGACGGGCATGAAACGCTAAGGCTGCTACTGCAGCCACCAAGGAAGTCTGTGTGCAAGCATAGGTCCACACCTCCCCTCCCGGGAACCTGTGCAGCCTACCACAACCAGGGTCCCGTGATCCAGGGACATCTTCCCTGGGAGAACACACAGCATGCCTCAGGCTGTTGCAATGTCACTCTGGCCTCTGCCGTTGCAGGCTCGCCCCGCATTCCGTACCCCTCCCTCCGCCCAGCCTGAGTGAGCCAGAGCCCCCGAATCAGCGGCTCCTTTAACCCCGTCCAGTCTGGGCGGGGAACAGACGCCCTCAGGCGACCTACACCCAAAGCTGAACCCCAGGAGCTGTGTGAACAAAGAAGAGAAAGGGAAATTTCTCCCAGCAGCCTCAGGAGCAGCGGACCAAATCTCCACCATCAACTTGATGTGCGTTGCATCTGTGGAATACCTGAATAGACAACAAACCATCCCAAAATTGAGGCAGTGGACTTTGGGATCAACTGTAGACTTGCGTTTGCTTTCTGCATCTAATTTGTTACTGGTTTTATGTTTATCTTAGTTTAGTATTTAGAGCGTATTATCAGTGGTAGATTTGTTAACTGATTTGATTGCTCTCTTCCTTTTTTCTTAAATATATATATATATTTTCCTTTTTCTCGTTTTGTGAGTGTGTATGTGTATGCTTTTTTGTGTGATTTTGTCTGTATAGCTTTGCTTTTACCATCTGTCTTAGGGTTCTGTCTGTCCTTTTTTTTTTTTTGTATAGTTTTTAGCGCTTGTTACCATTGGTGGATTAGTTTTTCAGTTTGGTTGTTCTTTCTTTCTTTTTTTTTTTGCGGTACGCGGGCCTCTCACTGTTGTGGCCTCTCCCGTTGTGGAGCACAGGCTCCGGACGCGCAGGCTCAGCGGCCATGGCTCACGGGCCCAGCCGCTCTGCGGCATGTGGGATCCTCCCAGACCGGGGCATGAACCTGTGTCCCCTGCATTGGCAGGCGGACTCTCAACCACTGTGCCACCAGGGAAGCCCTCTTTCTTGTTTTTATTACTTTTTAATTTTAAGATTTTTTTTATTTTTTATTTTAATAATGTTATTTTACTTTATCCTTTCTTTTTTTTTTCTCCCTTTTCTTCTGAGCTGAGTGGCTGACAGGCTCTTGGTGCTCCAGCAGGGTGTCAGGCCTGAGACTCTGACGTGGGAGAGCCGAGTTCAGGACACTATGCCACCAGAGACTTCCCAGCTCCACATAATATCAAACGGCAAAAGCTATTCCAGAGATCTCCATCTCAACGCTAAGACCCAGCTTCACTCAACAACCATCAAGCTACAGTGCTGGACATCCTATGCCAAACAGCTAGCAAGACAGGAACACAACCCCACCCACTGGTAGACAGGCTGCCTAAAATCATAATAAGTCCACAGACACCCCAAAACACACCACCAGACGTGGTCCTGGCCACCAGAAAGACTAGATCCAGTCTCATCCACCAGAACATAGGCACCAGCTCCCTCCACCAGGAAGCCTACATAACCCACTGAACCAACCTTACCCACTGGGGGCAGACACCAAAAACAATGGGAACTACAAACCTGCAGCCTGAGAAAAGGAGACCCCAAACACAGTAAGTTAAGCAAAATGAGAAGAGAGAGAAAGACACAGATGAAGGAGCAAGGGAAAAACCCACTAGACCAAACAAATGAAGAGGAAATAGACAGCCTACCTGAAAAGGTATTCAGAGTAATGTTAGTAAAGATGATCCACAATCTTGGAAATAGAATGGAGAAAATAAAAGACAGGTTTAACAAGGACCTAGAAGAACTAAAGAGCAAACAAACAATGATGAACAACACAATAAATGAAATAAAAAATTCCCTAGAAGGAATCAATAGCAGAATAACTGAGGCAGAAGAACAGATAAGTGACCTGGAAGATAAAATAGTGGAAATAACTACTGCAGAGCAGAATAAAGAAAAAAGAATGAAAAGAACTGAGGACAGTCTCAGAGACCTCTGGGACAACATTAAACACACCAACATTCGAATTATAGGGGTCCCAGAAAAAGAAGAGAAAAAGAAAGGGACTGAGAAAATATTTGAAGAGATTACAGTTGTAAACTTCCCTAATACGGGAAAGGAAATAGTCAATCAAGTCCAGGAAGCACAGAGAGTTCCATACAGTACAAATCCAAGGAGAAACATGCCAAGACACATATTAATCATACTATCAAAAATTAAATACAAAGGAAAAATATTAAAAGCAGCAAAGGAAAAGCAACAAATAACATACAAGGGAATGCCCATAAGGTTAATAGCTGATCTTTCAGCAGAAACTCTGCAAGCCAGAGGGGAGTGGCAGGACATATTTAAAGTGATGAAAGGGAAAAACCTACAACCAAGATTACTGTAGCCAGCAAGGATCTCATTTACATTCGATGGAGAAATTAAAACCTTTACAGACAAGCGAAAGCTAAGAGAATTCAGCACCACCAAACCAGCTTCACAACAAATGCTAAAGGAACTTCTCTAGGCAGGAAACACGAGAGAAGGTTAAAGACCTACAATAACAAACCCAAAACAATTAAGAAAATGGTAACAGTAACATACATATCGATAACTACCTTAAATGTAAGTGGATTAAATGCTCCAACCAAAAGACAGAGACTGGCTGAATGGATACAAAAACAAGACCTGTGTATATACGCTGCCTATAAGAGACCCACATCGGACCTAGGGACACATACAGACTGAAAGAGAGGGGATGGAAAAAGAGGCTAAACAATACATTACTAAATAACCAAGAGATCACTGAAGAAATCAAAGAGGAAATAAAAAAATACCTAGAAACAAATGACAGTCAAAACATGATGACCCAAAACCTATGGGATGCAGCAAAAGCAGTTCTCAGAGGGAAGTTTATAGCAATACAATCCTACCTCAAGACACAAGAAACATCTCAAATAAACAACCTAACATTATACCTAAAGCAATTAGAGAAAGAAGAACAAAAAAACCCCTAAAGTTAGCAAAAGGAAAGAAATCATAAAGATCAGATCAGAAATAAATAAAAAAGAAATGAAGGGAACAATAGCAAAGATCAATAAAACTAAAAGCTGGTTCTTTAAGAAGATAAACAAAATTGTTAAACCATTAGCCAGTAGCACCAAGAAAAAAAGGGAGAAGACTCAAATCAGTAGAATTAGAAATGAAAAAGGAGAAGTAAAAACTGACACTGCATAAATACAAATGATCATGAGAGATTACTACAAGCAAATCTGTGCCAATAAAGTGGACAACCTGGAAGAAGTTGACAAATTCTTAAAAAAGCAAAACCTTCCGGGACTGAACTAGGAAGAAATAGAAAATATAGACAGACCAATCACAAGCACTGAAATTGAAACTGTGATTAAAAATCTTCCAACAAACAAAAGCTCAGGACCAGATGGCTTCACAGGCGAATCCTATTAAACATTTAGAGAAGAGCTAACACCGATTCTTCTCAAACTCTTCCAAAATATAGCAGAGGGAGGAACACTCCCAAACTCATTCTATGAGGCCACCATCACACTGATACCAAAGCCAGAAAAAGATGTCACAAAAAAAGAAAACTACAGGCCAATATCCCTGATGAACATAGATGCAAAAATCCTCAACAAAATACTAGCAAACAGAATCCAACAACACGTTAAAGGGATCATACACCGTGATCAAGTGGGGTTTATCCCAGGAATGCAAGGATTCTTCAATATACACAAATCAATCAATGTGATACACCATATTAACAAACTGAAGGATAAAACCCATATGATCTTCTCAATAGATGCAGAAAAAGCTATTGACAAAATTCAACACCCACTTATGATATAAAACCTCCAGAAAGTAGGCATAGAGGGAACTTACCTCAACATAATAAAGGCCATATATGACAAACCTACAGCCAGCATTGTTCTCAATGGTGAAAAACTGAAACCACTTCCACTAAGATAAGGAACAAGACAAGGTTGCCCACTCTCACCACTATTATTCAACATACTTTCGGAATTTTTAGCCAAAGCAATCAGAGAACAAAAAGAAATAAAAGGAACCCAAATCGTAAAAGAAGTAAAACTGTCACTGTTTGCAGATGACCTGATACCATACACAGAGAATCCTAAAGATGCCACCAG